TCGAGCAGTTGGTCGGGTTCGTCGCATTGCGCTTGCACGGACACGCCTCGATGGCCTAGTTACATGTTGACTCTGAATGTTCATAACTACATGGTAGTTTACCTGTTGCATCGAGCCAAAGCAAATGATGATGCAAATGACGGCGCTAAAGAGCACAAACGTCTCTCGCTGCCGCGCGGTCGTAGCAAACACGAGCAGTCGAAAGCAGCAAAGGCATCGGAACGGTCGAAATGTCTTGATCGCAGTCACCCACAGATAGTGGTCGCGGCTAAAGCTGTCGGGCACGAGGAGCTCGATAAATTGGGGTAAAATCGCCAGAAAATCCATAATCGCGAGCGGCGCGAGGACGTGCGCTTTGCGGTTGTCGGCCGCATAGAGCCTAGTGCGATATGAGCGCAGTATGATATGGATAGACTCGTCCATACCGCAGTAAATAGTCAAAGAGAAAGACCGTGCCAAAGAAGGCTTGGATGTACCGCGTCGTCATCGAGTCGAGCGACGTGTCCCATGCATTCCAGTTACGGAGGCTGTACATGCCCGTCACAATCACCCTGCGCATGGTATCGACACAGAGTCGTCATAAACATGTTGGTACCCGAGGAGCACTTGGTAGAGGTCGAGGATCGCTGCGAGGCGCGAGTTGTCCAAGTTGCGGCCGACCCACTTGCGCATCGACTCGCCTCGCTTGCGCTGCTTGATGAGCTTGTTGCGCGTGGCGACGACGACGCCGCTGAGGCGCTTGAGCTGGCGTCGCGCTTGCTGCATCGGCGGTTCTAAAATTATGCAATTTGTGTCAACGTGTCGGAAACCGCGCGCCTTTATATAGACAGGCGGACCGTTGCACATTTAGATCGACATGTCGGCGCATACACTGGATGCAACCGCTGGATCGTGCCCAGTATCGGCACTTTGGTGGGAGCGAGCGTCGGCATTTGACAAGACCAACGCCGTACATATCCTTGACGCATGTCGCGTCACGCGACCGCCACTGCATGCAAAAGGAGGCGGGTGGAGGCAGAAAGGGTATGATGATTTTCATGTACGTTGGCTCGAGGAGCAGACTAGTAACTAGGGTTGGCGACATGCAGCTGCTTGGTGTTGGCCGTGAGTGTCGCCACCTTGAGCTCGTCGTCGTCGGCCGCAAACCGAGGCGTGCACGGGCCGTCAAGGCTCTCGTCGTGGCGCAGCTCGGCGCGCGGAATCGGGCTCGAGAGTTTGGGCTTGACCGGCGGTGATTTCACAGCCGGACTGTTGGGCTGCGAGATGCTGACAACAGGTGGCGGCAGCAAGTCGAGCCCTGGCGGCGACGGAGGTGCGATCGTTGGGAGCCCACCGACCGACGACGGCGGCGAGAGAAGGTCCGACGCCGACGGCGATGGCGGCAGGACGGGGCCAGCACCAGGGCTGTAAATGATGGGGCTATTGGTCCGTGGAGCAAATGGCGACTTGGTTTCCTTGTCGGTGCAGACCCAAATGCGCAGTGTTTCCGAGATGGCTCCTTCGTCCGGCTAAGAACATGCAACGTAAGTTCGAAAGTCGACCTGCAATATGTGTGTACCTGTGTGAACCACTCCATCGACACCTCAATGTCTTCGCGCTCCGAGAGCGGGGGTGTGAGGAGCTCCACGAGGCGCGCGCGCGTCTCCTTGCCGAGATGCGGGATCTCAATACCGCGTACCGAGAGCGTGCTAATGCTGTTGCCAAGGACGACGCCGCAGATCCAGTTGGCCTACAGAGAACATGCGTGAGAAGAGGCTCGAGGTGCAGATATCGCACAAGAAATTTGAAGCGGTCGACTTGGCCGCGGCAGACTTGCTTCATAAGGAGCGTAAACACCTCATCGGGCACGAGCTGCTTGCACTGCTCGACGACCGCCATGACTGCGTAGTCTTCGCGGACGGCCTTGAGGAGCGCGCTGTTCTCGTAGCCGTGGATGCCCGACCGATAGCAGCTCGTGCAAAGATTGTAGTTGTCGCACTGCGAGCACGTGTACATGTGGCCGACGATCGGGTCCATGCCGCAGCCGTCGCAGAACGAATCGGGGTTGATTTGTGTGTCGGGATCCTTGAGCATCGCTCCAGCAATACTGGCGACCTTCATGCCAAAGTAGCGCCCGGCCGCTTGGAAGCGAGTCATGCCAACAGCATTCGCGGCCTCGTCCTGCGGCTCCGAGTCCAGCCAGGCAGCGACCTTGCTCTTGACAATCTTGCGCTCGCCGTGGAGCGCACGGAGCGGTGCGTCCTTGTCGAGCGACGGCGTCGCGGGACCGACAAAGAAGTGGGGCACGCTCGTGACCGCGGGCTGCTCGACGCTCAGGCGCCGGTTGAGCTCCATGGCGCTGTGGTCGACCGTGCTGTCCCGGCGCCCCGAGTTGCGGTCGACCTGGCGCGTCAGCGAGAAGCGGCTCGACATGGCTGCGACCGGCGAGATTGGGAGATGACTTCCGTGCTGGCGTGGGATCCGAGCGCACTTTATCGGGTGTATGCTGAGGAGCTGCCTCGTTCTTAACGTTGCACTCGGTGTTTATATAGTACTCCAATAAAGTGCGCATTTCCTTGACAAAAACGAAGATCTGCACCGTGTTCTTCGGGTGCATATTAATATTCCAACGCCCATGTACGACGCTGGTAATAATATACATTTGTTTAATCCCGTCGCTGCGGTCGTCCATCGAGACCGAAGCAAATTGGGTGCCAACGTCGCTCTGTCTTGGACGCCGACCGTAAGCGTAAGAGTGCTGTCGTTGCGAAACGCACATTCTTCACATGGGTTTCACACGCGTGAAAAAGGCAAAATCCCACGTGCATGTCTCGAACGACACGCATTTAATAAAATAAAATATCGTGTCCACGGGCCGCTTTTTTGTCCGTAGACACTAGTCCATACATGGACTTATATAATAGAATAAGTGTTTCCATGTGGTGCTGGAATTCATGGATATTAATATACTCCTTTTTCCCGCAAGTACCATACGACTACATGTTTGTATGTCGGTTATAACGCCACGTCGGGTAGGAACCACGGACTTTGGAGTAGTACCCCGGGGCACACGGTCGTGTGACTGAGTGGGTTTTCTAACGGGTGTGCATTTTCATTTGCCAGCGCCAACCCGCAGCATGGCCGTCGACAACGATGGCATCCTCGCCATCTTCCTGGCCATCACCATTGGCCTGCCGCTGCTTAGCATCCTCCGCACCTTCCTTGCCAGCGCCATCGTCGTGCGCCACAAGGAGAGTGTGATTGTCGAGCGCTGGGGCCGCTTCCACACCAAGGTACGACCATGTCACACGCCGTGTCCGCCCACGAGTTCGCCGTCTCTAGTGGGGTCCTGGGCTGCACTTTCTTGTGCCGTACATGGACAAGGTCAAGACGATCACTTGGCGCCGCCTCAAGGTACTGGACCAATGTGCGCTGAACGGCTGGACCTCATGGCGTGTGCAGATTCAAATGCCGCACGAGCCGGACGCGCTCATCGACAAGAGCTTTTATCGCGTCGACGCGCGCCAGACCATCATGGACTTCAAGCTCCAGACGATCATTACGCGCGACAACGTCGAGATTGCTGTGCGCCCGATGGTCATTTACGAATTCTGCGACCCGATGAAGGTCTGCTACGAGGTGTACGACCTCTCGCAGGCGATCAAGAAGCTCGTGCAAACCACGCTGCGCTCGATCATTGGCGACATGGGCCTCGACGACACGCTTGCGTCACGCGAAGAGATCAACCGCGGGATTCTGCAGAAGATCAGCCACATTTGCTTCAACTGGGGTGTTCGCATCCACCGCGGTAGGCGCTTGTGTGTCGTCCGATGAAACATGACTTTTTCTAGTCGAACTGCTCGAGATTACTCCGACGACGTCCGTGCAAGAGGCCATGCACAAGCAGCTCTCGGCCGAACGCGTCCGCCGCGCCGCCATCGTGACCGCCGACGGCTACCGTGAAAAGGTCAAGACCGAGGCCGAGGGCGACTCGCAGGCCAAGGTGGCCATCGCAACCGGCGAGCAGCAGTGCGTCGTCATTCGCGCCAAAGCCGCGGCCGAAGCGCGGCTTTTGATTGCGCGCGCCGAGGGCGAAGCGCTCTCAGTCGTCAAGGACTCGCTCAAGGACATGGCCATCGATACAACGCAGTATATGATTGCGGTGCGCTACATGGAGACGCTCGCGGCGATCGCGACGGATGCGAAGAAGTGCGAGCTGTTCATGCCCCTCGAGACGGACGTCGTCGGCTCCATTTCGGCCATGTAGCTGTGTCGCTACATTCGTTGCATTTATGACCAAATATGTGTCGACACTTGTGTTCTTTCGCAGCTAGTTCACACAGGCAAGAGCACGCCAAAGGGTTTTGCGAGGTCGCTCCCGCCGCGTTGAGCGCTACTTCACAGGACATATCTAAGGTGTTCTCGTACAAGTATATGTACCAAGCCAGCTACAGTATTTTGCTATTTTACAGGTACGACATTAGATCTTAGATGGCACAATACGCATGGATTCGAGTACTTGCTGTGGCAGCAAGCAACGTGGGCCGTGCGCTGCAGAGTTGAACAGTGCAAGTACATGTAGTGTATGTGATAGCCCACGGAGTATAAGAAAGAGGTATGTGCATCTGCGGGTGCCACCTCCACCACCGCACACAGACCCTTGCAGAATTCGAGCGCAATGACGATGAGCTTACGGTCCGCGATTGATGGTTGCATGACGTCCTTTGTTGGCGCTGTCGACATGACGAGACTTGGCTTTTGAAACTGCATTTGAGACGGATGGACTGGGAAGCCAACCTCGCCGCGATCATCAAGTGCACGGACGAGAACCTTCGCGCGCAGTTCCGCGACCACGAGCCGCCACGTTCGTCGTATGCGCCGCCGCCGAGCCACCGCGTACCGCAGGAGTTTGGCGCGCGCGAGTGGCGACCCGCGACGCCGCCACCCCGCAAGGTCGACGAAGCGCCCAAGCACCACCCGCCCACGGACAATAGCAACCAATATACGGCCGAGATGCCATTTCCACACCACGCGGTACGCTATACATGTGCCACCGAGTCGTAAGGCGTCCGCGGTGGCTAGAGCTACCAGGTGACGCACATGATGGAGCAAATTCGGTTCAGCATCAAGCTCGAAGTCGACGCGCGGGCAGCGATTGCCGAGCGGCAGCTGAGTGCCATCATGGCGCTGACCAAGAGCAACTCGGATGAGATCGACCGGCTGCGCATGGAAGCGAGCAGCGTCGACCGCGAGCTGCGCACGATCGACCAAAGCCACCAAAAACTCCGACAAGACTGCACGACCCAAAAGGACATTATGTACCACGTGCAGAGCATGTGCGGGAAGGACGAGTCGTGGCGCATGCAGGCCGACAACCAGCTGCTCGAGCTGCGCCAGCTCGTTGCCGCCCTCCGCGAGCAAGCCAATTCGATTCAGGTTTTTTGCGATTTTGCGATGTTGTATTGTCGAATTGTCTCATTGTTGTATGTTGTATTAGGTAGCGATGCAGGAAAAGCTGTCGCGGCCCGAGCTCCTCGTGCACTTTAACGCGTGCGTGGAGCCTATTAAAGCCCAGCTCAACGCGAGTCTGCAGCACCAAGGTACGAAGTGACGCGGCGTCAAAGCGAGTATAACATTGTAGTCATTAGGCTCGCTGATTGGCGATATGACTCGAACAGCAACTTCGACATCGTACCTCGTCGACAGCCTCGTCAAGCGTGTCAAGGACGTCGATAACCGCCTCGACGATCTCAAAAATGAGACGGAAGCCCACGTGCACCGTCTCGAGAAGCACCAGCAAGCGATGCCGACGTCAGCACCAGACAAAACCCAGGTCCTTGACGTCCCGTTTTCAGAGTCGTGGACGGCCCCGATCGCAGCTATCGCCGAGACGCACGCCCGCAAGGCTGCAACGACGTCGAGCGAAGCCCTCCAGCTGGAACTGACCCAGCGCGAGGCGAAATGGATGGTGCGTCTGAATCTGATTGGGAGCTACATTGTGGAATCGTCTAGACACAAGTCCAGACCCTCGTGCACGATCAGACGAGACAACTGCAGTCATCATGGAGCCAAGACGCCGAGGCACGCGCCCGTCGCAGTCAAGACGCTGTGGTCGCTGTCGAGTCGCAGACCAAGCAAGCCATCGACACTGTCGAGCGCCACGTACACATCATCTGGCAAAGTGTGGAGTTTTGTAAGGTGGTTCTATCTAGGTGCGTCAGCAACTCGCCAAGGTCGACCAGAGTGTCGGTCAGGTCCAGACGCAGGTTGAGACGACCTTTTGCATCAAGCAAACCGAGTGGATGACGCAACTCGAAGCGGAGAAACGGGACCGCAAGCGAGCGCTTGACGACGTGACCAACGAGCTCGCACAAACCAAGCAGTGGACGCAGACGCAACTCGAGTCGGCGCAGCGAGCGCTGCAGACGCACCAGAACGACGCTGCGGACGCAAGTATCAAGCTCAAAACCTCGCTGCAAGCGTCACACGACGCCCTCCAGAGCACCGTGTCGGCCAAGCTTTTGGAGATCTCGAGTCATGTGAATATGGCGCAGTCCCAGTGGCGGCAAGCCCACGAAGCAATGACAGCAGCGCACGCTGAGGCGCTCAAAGGCCTATCGGCCAAGATGGACACTGTGCCTGCGCAGCTGGTCGCACTCGACACGACCGTGAAAACCACCGAGAGCCGTCTGCAACAAGCTGAATCGCGGACGACAACGGCGCTGGAGAATGCAAAGACGTCCATTCTCGAGCTGCAATCGGACGTTGTGAAGCTCAAGGCGACGGACACCAAGCCGCCCCCGCAGGTGTATCCGCCACCACCGACGTACCCAATGTGGCCGTCCTACCCGCCCATGTATGGCTTCCCACCGGACGCGGCGCAGAGCATGAGCGCCATGGCGTACCATCCGATGATGCTCGCGAGTCTCATGCAAGGCGGCTTTCCCCCAACGCCGGCCAAACCGGCGACAGAGATGCCGACTATGCCGCCGCCAACGCCGGTCGCGGCCGTACCAAAGGCTGTCTCTCCCATGGGCGAGCAACCACAGGGTAAAGACTTGCCGACGGGCTCCGTCCACGTCAGTGAGACACGCGTCGCCTCGGTGCCACCGACAGAGCCCGTCCCCGTGGCACAGCCCGTTTACGCCTTCGCCCCGACGCCGGTTTGTAAGCCGGACGCTGCATCCGAAACGAGGCCCGAGAAGCTGACCGTTGGGACGATGGATCCACGACGTACGTTGCCGCCTCCAGAGACGAGTTCTGCTCCGTCACAAACATCGGTGCCTGCCACACCCGCTTCGGTGGCAACTTCAGCTCCACTCCCACACGTGCCGGCTGCAGCTCGTCTTCCCCCCGTGCCAGCTGCAGCGTCTACACCACCGCAAGCCGCAACGTCCACACCGCTACCTGCTGCAGTGTCCACACCACCACCAGCTGTGGTGACGGCGCCAACTCCATCTACGGTGCCAGTGTCCACGCCTGTGGCCAAACCGACACCCGCTGCAACACCGGCGGCGGTGCCAACGCCAACAACGGCACAGACACCCAGCACCGCTCCGGTCCCAACTGTCCCAGCAAAGTCCGCGCCGCTTCCAGGGCCCGCGATACCAAAGGAGATGACACCCGAGGCAACGCAGCCATCGACGGACCCACCTGCTGTCAAAAGTGTCGCTGCCACCACGACCTCGTCTGTGCCAATAGCTTCCGAGCCGAGTGCACCGATGCCACCTCCCAAAGTACCACCCGCGCCGTCCACAGCCCCGCCGCGAGCCACACCCAGCGTCGAGTCACCGCCCGTATTGCCGTCCAAGCCATCAACACCGGCACCCAAACTGTCGGGCCCACAGACGACCTCCGTGGTACGACTACAGAATACCAAGGCCGCTGTAGCGAGGACTTCACGTAGGAGACAAGCGACAATGGAGCTCCTGCCATGCAAGGTGCTTTGGCGGAGGCAGAGCTCGCCAAGGCCCGGGTCGAGCAGCGGCTCAAGCTCGAGCGCGAACGTCGGCACTCCCTCGGATCGATGCCACCACCCACGTCCCCGCCCACGTCATCGCCGCCCACGGCTGCACCAACACCAACAAGGGTTGAGACCACGCAGGTCACAAACAACGTCAAATGCAAGCAGTGCCACCTCGAAATGGCCGCCGCGGCGTTGAGTAGCCACGAACAAACGCAGTGTCCCATGCGCTTGGAGGTACCCCGAACCCTACTCTTGTACTCTGTGTTAACTGAGCACAGGGCCGGGCCAAGGACGACGGTGATTGCACGCTGACCAAGTGCAAGCACTGCCTCAACGACGTCAGAGCCTCCGACGTGGCCGAGCACGAACTCACTTGCGATCAAATGATGAAGCAATGTCCGCACTGCCTCCGCCGCCAAAAAGTATCATATTGTTCTTTGAAAATGGAACACGTAGCTACTGTATCCACTAGATGTCGGAGCTGCAAGACCACATCAACGTCTGCGACTGCCGCCTCGTGCAGTGCCCCAACCAGTGCGGCGGCAAATTCCTTCAACGCGGGTTGGAAAAGCATGTTTTGACCAAGTGCCCAAAACGAGCTGTGGCGAAACCCGAGGCGCCCAAGCCGATCGCGGCCGAGAAGCCAGTGACGACCGTCGACAAGGTACCGGTACAGCTGTACCGATGGAGATAACAACCTGCGCTGTGTAGCAAGAATGCAAGTACTGCGACGAGTCGTTCCCGACCAAAGAGCTCGACGACCACGAGCAAAGGTGCATGCACTTCGATTCTCCTCAGTCAGCTGCATTCGCGTAGCTGCGACTGGAAGCCAAAACGATGCCAGTACTGCAACATGGTCATCATCGCACGCGACCTCGCTCGGCACGAGACGAGCTGCAAGCAGAGCGCGCGACAGTGTGCCCACTGCCAGCAAAGTGTACGCCATTGAGTGGTTTTGCGTCGGCTTCACTTTAGTCTAGTTTCCGAGCACGGCCTTTGCGACGCATATGCCCAAGTGCCCGAAACGCCCAATCAAGTGCATCCGGTGCGGCGAGCTCTTTCCGGCGGACGTCATTGTCGTGCACTCGACGTCGTGCAAGCCGTCACTGACCGCCGCGGCCCCCGTGGTGCCACCCCCGCCGTCGACCCCGCCCCCCACCCTCGCCGTAGGATGTGTGCTTTTACAGTACTACCGGCCTCATGGTGTCAGCAGACGTCCCCCAAGCGCAAATCTGAGAGCAATCTGCGGCAGCTGATGCAGCCCGATCCGAATGCGGAGCTCCAGCGACGCATGTCGACGATGCAGCTACAGAGTGCGCCCGAAGAGGACGGCAGCGACCGGCTCAGTCGACGGTCGTTTGCATTGGCGCAGCTGACAGCGCAAGGTGCAGCGCAACCAGCGACCACAGAGAGAGTCGAAGACGAGGACGAGGACGACGAAAGTGACGACGACGACGCGGAGGATGAGGATGAAGATGAAGATGACGACGATGATGTCTCGTTGGCGCAAGGTACTCTTCGAGTTTCATCGCTGCGACTCAGATTTTCAACCACCAGTCGTGGCTGAATGGAACGTTGAAAATGTCTGTTTGTGGCTCAAGGAAGATGTCGGCGTCCCAGATGTCGTGGTAGACAGCCTGTCTGTGATTCAGCAGACAATAATGTGCGTAGGACCGGTTCGATGCGCTGCAAATCGACGGACAAGCTCTTTTGGACCTCACCGAAGCGTCGCTCATCTCTGAAATCGGCATCAAAGTCAAGGCCCACCGGGATCGCATTCTTGCAGTAATCTGCGAAAACACCAAGGAAAATACACGATGTAAATACAGGCGATCGAGGCCATCAAGACGAGCGACGACTACAGCTCGGACGAAGACGACGGCGAGAGCCACGATGAAGATGACGACGCAAGCGCCGAGGCGGACGCGCCGTATCACGTCACCAGTACACAATCGTTTGCGTGATCGCGCGATCACGATGTATGGAGCTAGGCTCCAAGGCAAATAGCTTGACCCGTCGCATGTCGCTTCAATCCGCACCGCCCCCAAGTGCCCAAACCCAAGCCAATTTGGTGCGTTGTCGACGAGGCTTGTTTCCACTTGGTCATTGGCCATGCATGTAGCTCAACCGAATCAACTCGGCGCTCAACTCTGGCTCGGTCTTTCGGTAAAAACCACATACTAGTACGAATTTTCATGCAGCTATGTCCTTAGAAGCACATCGGCGCTGCCATCCAAGTAGTCGACATCCAATAACGCACAACAATCGGTACCTTGATACAACACGTTTCGGTTGTCGATTATAAAAACAAGAAAGCGGAATTGGTGGCGGCTACGAGGATGCAGCGACGGCCTGGCGACACTCGAACGTCGTCTCCAAGCACACAGGCGTCATGGTGGCAATGTCTCGCTTGGGGTGCACACACGCGCGTTCAGTCAGCGGAAACGTGTGCGACGCGAGAAGATGCAGCAAGATCACTTGCATCTCCATCATCGCAAACCGCTGGCCAATGCAGTTCTTGTCGCCTAGGAATACACGTCAGCGGAAGCTCGAGCAAAACGACGACAATATTGTACCTGCGCCGAACGGGAGATAGAAAAACGTGCTGCTTTTGCCAACGCGCAGCGCCTTGTCGGCAGCAGAAAGCGCGTTGCCATCGAGGAAGCGTTCTAGGCAGCGGCGTTAGTCAGTCGGCCATTTAGTCAATCGGCCATGTAGTACAAAAACGGACCTGGTAGGAACGCGTCGGGATTCGTCCAAAAAGCAGGGTTGCGGTGGATGGCGACAATATCAATCCAAATCGCCGTACCCTAACCACAAATCGCGTAAAATGTTGAACTATCGCAAACGGCACAATGTGTACCGCCGGCACAAACAGCGTCGATCCATCCTGGAGCGGAATGGTATCATCTTCGAGCGCGTCGCGAGCGGCGAGCGCTGGCACAGTTGGGTAGCAACGCAGCGTTTCTTGAAGGACCGCAGTGAGGTACGGCAGTTCGCCCAGCGCTTCGGACGGCAACGGCCCGGGAAAGCGCTCGAGGACGATTTTGCACTCGGCGTGCACGCGGTCCGCGACGCTCGGGTGCTTTGCGAGCATGGCGAGCACCCAGCACAGCGTGTTGCTCGTTGTCTACATGAACCTGAGTACAGTGTACAGATAGAACGATGTACCTCGTGCCCGGCTTGGAGAAAGGTCATGACGTGGACGCACGCCTCGGCCGGCGTCAAGCGCGGTCCCGATGCAAAGAGCAAGTCGAGGAGGTCGTTGGAGACGGTGGTGGGCGCTAGCATCTTTGCCTCGATGACGCGCAAGACAATGCGCTGGAGCGTGTCGGTCGCATGGCGCCGCTTGGCAATGTCGGCGAAGGGAAGGTACTCCCAAAATGGAAGATACGTCATCCCGAGGGTAAGGACGAGCGATGATGGCAGCCTTGCGTCGTCGTAAGCGCGAAGCTCGTCGCTCGTGCTGTTCAAAACACCCTGAAAGTCGTAGCCAAAGGCGGAAACGCCGATGATATCGAGTGTAAGCCGCGTCAACTCTAGCACCGACTCGAGAGGATCCTGCTAACATACGAGATCGTACGCGCAGGGAGGTCGATGGGCGTGAGCGGCGGCAGTGCCAAGAGCGCCTTCCGGAAGCGCGTCGCGTGCCGTTCAAAAATTGGCACAAAACTCTTGAGCTGCAAATGCGTAAAATGCGGGTTGAGCTGCTTGCGCATCGCGGCGTGACCTGCACCGTGGGCCGAGAGGAGGCCGACGCCTCGAAACATTTTCTACCATTTTCGGATGGAAATTTTGTATCAATGTATCGAGTCGAACGACCGAAAAAATGGTGCGGGAAATGTGGTCGCGAGGGTACTTGCTGCTGTGTGTGACGAGCACGTGCTTGAGCCCGACCGGGTCGGCGAGCGTTATCTATGAGCATATGAGAACTGTTGTTCACGTCGCGCACGACTCTCTGGATGTGCATGGCGCGGTGGTAATACGCGAGCCCGTAGCGCCGCAGCCTACAAGGCGCTGTGGTACCAACACGCACGAGGCCACGCACCAGCTCACGCCTGGCTCGGGGTAATTGCCGGTCGTCCAGTCAATGCCCATGACACCGCTCCTATCGACGACGATTAAGATGTGTCATGTGTGTGGCGACGAACGCATGGCCAAAGAGCGTATGGAGCAAGGGCGGGCTCGGGAGCTTCTTTGCGAGCGACCGTTGGTACGGCGCCAGCCACATGAAGACACTGAGCGGCACTAGTAGAAGCGCCAGCGCCATCAGCACCATCGTCGTCTCCATTCGCTTGTCAAACTGAGTGTGCGGATTGCGATCTTTGGCCTTTCTGCAGAGTCCAGTGACCTATTTTCGTATGTTTTCCGCGTAAAAATGATAGAATCAAGACAAAAACGTGTCACGCAACCGTCAGAAATTCGAAACGCCGCGCGATCCTGTGCAATGCGATGGCTGTTTGTGCGGGTTGTTGATATTTGAATCCATGTCGAGCTCTACTAGTTCAACGCAAGTCTAACTCTAGTTCAACGCAAGTCTAACTCTAGTTCAACGCAAGTCTAACTCTAGTTCAACGCACGACTAGCTCTAGTTTAACGCAAGACTAGCTCTAGATTAACGCATATCTAGCTCTAATTTAACGCATGTCTAGCTTCAACTCGTAGAACTGCGAAAACAACAACGAGAATAGGTATTACAACGCCGTCAGCGTCACCTCCAAGAGCGTCGGGTGCATGGTGGTCAGATCGCGCTTCGGACAAACATTGGCGCGCGGCGTCAGGTGCACGCGGAAGGTGCCGAGGAGGTAGACCAAGGCAACTTGCATCTCCAAGAGGGCAAAGCGCTGGCCAATGCAGTTTTTATCCCCTAGATACATGTCAGATCTTATTCGTTCCAGTCGCTAAGCGAGGCCAGGTACCCGTACTAAACGGAAGGTAAAAGAACGACTGGCTCAGCTCGCCGCGCAAAGCCTTGTCTGCGCGCTGGAGCGCGTGTCCCTCCACAAAGCGATCTACAGACTGCTGTATCTCCCTTCCGCTTCGCGTTTGAACTCGCCAACCTGGCAAAAAAGCGTCCGGGTCCGTCCAGAATCGCGGGTTGCGATGAATGGCCAGCACATCGATGCCGACTTGCGTACCCTAACCGCTCCCAGTTAGAGACATTATTGTGCATATATATATATTGGACAACCTTGGGCACGAAAAAGGAGTCGCCGTCCATGAGCGGTACGACATTGTCTTGGGTCGCGATACGGTCCGACAGCGTCGGAGCGGTCGGGTACAACCGCAGCGTTTCGTGAATGCAAGCGGTCAACAACACCAGCTCGCCAACCGCGTCGCTAGTCAAACCGGTTGGGTGCCGGGCGAGGACGGCATGACACTCGCAGTGCACGCGCTCGGCCATCTCTGGGTGCGCGGTCAGCGTGACAACAACCCACGCCAGCGTGTTGCTCGTCGTCTATCAAGGTATCAACCATCAAACATCAAGTTGATACTTTCGTACTTCGTGCCCGGCCTGGAGAAAGGTGGCGGCATGGACGCGGGCGTCCGCAGCGGAGACATCCGAGAGCAGCATCAGGTCCAAGAGGTCGCGGGCCGTGTGGGTCTTGGGCGACGCGAGCTTGGCGTCAATGACCTTTGTCACGATCTGCTGGAGGACGTCCTTGGCCGCTCGCTGGCGCGCAACCCAAGGCAGCGGGAGAGAGTCCCAGTACGGAAGGTACGCGGCGCCCACATTGGCCAGAATCGAAATGGGAATCTTGCAGTCTTCACAGGCGCGGATCTCGTCGCTGCGCGTGCCCTGGATCGCATTGAATGCAAAGCCAAACGCCGTCACGCCAATCACATCCAGCGCCAGCTGCGTAAAACCTAATCGTATCAAGTTGATACAGTGCGAGGTGTAGGGTCGTACGCTCGAGGAGATCGATGGGCGTCGACGGCGGTAGATGACCCAGAAAGGCCTTGGCGTGCTGCTCGAAAATCGGCAAAAAGCTCTTGATCTGGACTGGCGTAAAGTGTGGGTGCAGTTGCTTGCGCATGCGGTCGTGAACAGCGCCTTCCGCGCTGAGCAAGCCGACGCCTCGCGCCAGTTTCTAGCTGATTGAGATGACGCTCATGTTTATGAAGTACGTACTTGGAAGAGAGTGCGCGTGATGTTGCACCGAGGGTAGATGTCGCTTCGGGTCACCAAGATGTGCTTGAGCCCCACCGGGTCCATCATGGCCATCTACGCCAGACGTTCTTGGGACTTGCCAGCGTTATGGGTTGCGTACCCGGTGCATGTGAAAGAGGCGGTTGTAGTAGACCATGCCGTACTCGCGAGCGCTAGCGCGTAGGTTATATGAGGCGTGTCGTTGCAAGGGAGGCGCACTAGCGGACGATGGGCTGCGGGTAGTTGCCTCGGTCCCAATCGATGCCACCGAGGTCGGCGCTACAAGCACGAGGATGCTCATGGTCCGAGACGGTTGACAGCTGTACATACGCGAGGCCGAGCAGCAGCGACGACGACGGCGGGCCTCGGAGCTTGTAGAGGCCGCGAACGTACGGCTGCATGAGCGTATAGACAAAGAGGCCAAGCGCGATGAGCGCACCGGCGCTGCCCATCAGCATCAGCTCCATCTTGAAATATCGAAGCCGAAAGTGAATGGATTCGAAATTCTAGTGCCGAAAAAAGTCTGCATCGTCAAGTAACGTCAAAAAAGGGTACGTCGGCGGACTCAGTGTATCAATCCGAGCGCGACAAAACAAGAAATAGCTCCCTACGAGAGCACGAGCTATGTGTTCTCGCAGTGTACCGCGGAATGCGTACCCTTGCCTGTGATGGCTCACGACTTGTCGAAGCCGTTGGTCTGATGGATCCAAATGTACCCTTTTTCGTCAAATCACAATGGCAATCAAGCACCGGGCAAGCACTTCTTCCCCAGCGCCCTGACGCCCGCCAGGAGTTCCAAATGTGATAGTCAAATACGCATCTCGCACTAGCAAGGAAGGGTACATGTAATTAGCGTGGGAGGGTGGGAGGCAAAATCACTCTATTAGAGTGATTTTGCAAGCGTGAATTTCATGAATGGAGCAAGTAGTCACATGTCGCATGCGCCCGTCGGATGAATTCCACCGAAAAAATGTACGATGGGACCCCCTCAATCCTGAACCGTTTTTCCGGGTCGCCACTCGTTTTTTTACTTGCGCTGAGTATAGGCGAGGAGGCTCCACAGACGACGAAGAAGGCGTGGGAGGGTGACGTCTCGACCATGGAGCCAAGCCGATGCGGCAACGCGAGCCGGTTGAGCATGATACAGATCGCCTCCAACGGATCGGCTTTGTAGCGGTGCGTCGTGATGATTTCGTCGGGCAAACACAGCGAGCGCAGGAGCTCGACGATCTGCTGCTTGGTAAATCGGAACTTGTACACGCAGTCCGTATCGGATTGCGCGCTAAAGTTGAAGCGGGTACTTGGTGATGGCCCGAGAGGCCACGACGAGGTGTTGGGCGAGAATTGCGACGAGAGGGAGTGCGAGCAGGACGTCGTCCATGTGCCTGCGGTCCAAAGCGTAAAACTGATGCAGGTTTGCAAAAACAATCGACGCGCGACTTTTACCCTTTGAATTTTCCAGAATTTCGAGCGCCGAACAATCCTGAATTCCACGCTTGCAAAATCACTCTAATTAGCTCAATCACACTTTAGTGAAGGATCGACGATCGTCACGCTCGCGTCAGTAGCACCTCGAGATGCGTTTGGTGCGTTGTCACCAGATCCCGCTTTGGAAGCACGTTGGCGTTTGGCGTCAAGGTCGCGTGGAACGTTCCCAGAAGGTGCAGCAGTTGGAGTTGTATTTGCTGCATGGCTGGCCTGTGCAGTGGTTGCCGCCTAGTCCAAAATATCAATGTTTCAAGTCCATCCGTGTTGAGAATCCACCATACCGGCACCAAACGGGAGGTACACGAACGCGAGGCTGATACCGCCCCGCAGCACTTTGTCGGCCACCTAGCCTCTCGCCCGTCAACCTCGCGCCCGCAAAGTAGTGTCAATGGTGCAAGGACGCTCAGGATGGGTGAGTCCAGAGATGTACTAGCCCTAGAATTATGTTGGTCCTTACTAAGTTGTCCAAAAGGATTTAACGACAGAGCAGCGTTCGCCTTTAGCGTTGTACGGCGTGTCACTCAATCCGTCGAGCTCCTTTCGTCGAGCGAGTGATTACGGTTTACGCTGTCGTTGCGCTACGGCGGTGCACGGTGACTTCCAAGCACGTGGGTGTGATCGACACGAGCTCCCGACTCGGGTTCAAGTTGGTGCGGTCGGTGGCCTTGAATGTGACGGCGGCGAGCGTTTTCACCAGCAGGATTTGCATTTCAAGCATCGCAAAGCGCTGGCCGATGCAATTTTTCTCCCCTAAATCCTTCAATCTCAATCTCAAAATCCCACTCCAAAGCAATAGTTACCCATGGAAAATGGAAGATAGTGAAATGTGTGGCCCGCACCGCCGCGCAGCTCGCGATCCGCATTGCTCAGCGCACTGCCCTCCATAAATCGCTCTACGCACTGCATGTCACACGCCATCGAGTTAGACGATACGGACCTGGGCAAAAGTCGTTGGGGCGCGTCCAGTACTTCGAGTTGCGCTGCACCGCCACGAGATCCACGTAAATCGATGTGCCCTACATGACAATATCTCACATGATTTCGCAAATCATTGTCGCACCTTGGGATTCGCTACGCTCGACCCGTCCGCGAGCGGAATGACGTCGTCGATTGTCACGGAGCGTGGTGCGAGCATCGTAATCGCTGGGTAGCACCGCGCGGTTTCTTTGAGAAAGGCCGTGACGTAGACCAAGTCGGCGACCGCTTCGTACGATACATCGCTGCCAAAGCGAGCGACTGTGGCGTCGCACTCGGCCTGGACCTTGGCCGCGACATTGGGGTACCGCAACAGCATTGCAATCGCCCACGACAAGGCGTGGCTCGTTGTCTACCGTACAAATTCTGATTTTTCCAAAAAATAAAGTACAACCAACCTCGTGACCGGCCTGCATGAAGACCTGGACATGCACGCGGGCCTCTGCCGACGTCATGTTACGGTCCGAAATGAGCATGAGATCGAGGAGGTCCTGGGGTGGGTGGTCATCAATCGCTTGGGCCATTTTGGCTTCAATGACACGCATCACAATGCCCGGAAGTGTGGCGATGGCGCGGCGACGGCGAGCGTACCCGGGCAGCGGAAGGTAGGACCACCCGGGTACGAGCACGGTGCCCACCATTCCGATAATGGACGGTGGGAATTGCGCGTCGACGTAGGCTTGGTTGTTCTCGGCGTTCGTGCCGGCGAGGGCGCCAAAGTCATAGCCAAACATGCTACTGCCCATGATATCGAGTGTCAACAACGACCACACTAATTCCGGTCGCAAGGGTCGTCCAATAAGATCGTCGGTAGTTGTACTACCTTTGTGCAAGTTGACTGGCGTGTTGGTGTCGATCGCGCGCGTGAAGTGCGCAAGCATTGCGTTGGTGTGGGCCACAAAGATGGGCACAAACAGCTTGAGATGCGCGAGGCCAAAGTGCGGGTTCAGTGCTTTGCGCATCGACGCGTGGTCGGCGCCTTTGACACTCACGAGGCTGTCGCCACTCATGTATGTCTACAGAACGCATGACAATGCTGTTTGACGCCGGGTAGTACGCGGAGAAAGGTCCGGGTCGTGTCGTCGCGCGGGTACCGACTCGCATGCGTCACCAGCACGTGCTTGAGCCCAACAGGGTCGGCCAGCGCCACCTACAACACACCGTCAAGATCGTATCTGCATTTAGCAGATAAGACGTACGCGCCCCAAGTGCAAGAGACGAAAGTAGTAGGCGCAGCCGTACTCTTCGAGCCTACACATGGTCGCCAGTTCAAATCCGAGTACGCGCATGAATTTTGTCTACCAAGAAAGCGCTGGGTTGGGATACGTGCCCGACACATCGCCCATGACCTCGCGCCTACGACACGCGACAAGTGCAAACGTGAGCTAGCATAGCGTGGAGCGTACGCGTGGCCCAAGAACCAGCTGGATGCAGGCGGCGACGGCAATTTAGCGAGCATTTGGCGCCGTGACCGTATGATACACAAGTAATAACAGACGGCGCCCGCAAGCGCCAAGGTCCACAGCGCTTGCACAAGCATGCGTCTTGTCGTCCGGTGGTGGGGCGGAAACAACGTTCAAAACTTAAACTTAAGAACCTCGAAGACGTCTCTGGATGGAATCCAGCGACGCGGTTCTAGATTTTTGCCACGTCATCGGCGAAATTTTCATGCATGACGTGGCAGCCTGAGGAGGCGTCAACCACTTTGCAGGCGGGTGGTTGGACCAGCGAAACTGCACGGTGACTTTGAGAGTTATCACCTTGGACGTGGCGCATGGCAACGGTGCCAACGAGGCAGCCGGGCTCGCTAGTGAGCGCAACCCGAGGGCATCGCAACTAGGAGCGCTGCAACGACGCCGCTTCAACGCTACAGCCGCCTCATATCCTCCCCACTAGTATCGCAACAACAAGAGCGCAGTCTTATACAAAGTAGGTGTACTACAAATTACGTGCGAACGTGCATTGTCGAAAAGACTCGAAAACTGAAGGGGTTAGATCGAATGGATGGTGGTCTCGAGCAGCACGGGCGTGATCGTGCCCACTTGGCGCTTCGGGTGCAAGACTGCAGCGGGCGTCACCGCAAACCGCACCGACGATAGCACGTGCACCAGAATCGTCTGCAGCTCCATCGTCGCGAACCGGTGGCCAATGCAATTCTTCTCGCCTAATAGCTCACTTTCCAAATCCGTTCTTAGAGTTCCAAAACTGTACCAGCGCTGAATGGAAAGTAGAAAAACGTGTGTCCTTTGCCGCCGCGCAGGTGCAAGTCGGCCGAGTGGATGTCGGTGCCTTCGATAAAGCGATCTACATGGTGCATCAGGACAACGCTTGGTCATACGGGCAAGCCGGGCGACCTGGCACAAACTCGTCCGGGCGCGTCCAGTACGCAGGGTTGCGGTGGATGGCAGCCACGTCGACCCACACCATCGCGCTCTGCTCGACAATGTACCCCACAACCTCGAAAAATATAGCTTTGTACCTTGGGCACGTGCAACTGCGAGCCATCCGAGAGCGGAACGACCTCGTCCTTTGTGACGCCGCGCGCCGCGAGGTTGATGACCGTCGGGTAGATTCGCAGTGTTTCCTGAATCACTGCCGTCAGCAGTGGAATATGTGCCAGTCCCTCGGCGGTAAAGCCATCCGGACACTGCTGCAGCGCAGCTTGGCACTCGGCACGGACCGCCATCTCGATCGCGGGATGCTGCGAAAGCAGCGCAACGACCCAGCACAACGTGTTGCTCGTCGTCTACGCAAAGATCAGTGGACAACTTGTCTGATATGCAAACACATACCTCGTGGCCGGCTTGCATAAAGGTAAACACGTGGGCGCGCGCGTCGGTCGCCGACATATCGGGGCCGGCCACCAGCATCCGATCGAGGAGGTCCCGCGGCGGGTCGACGGCCGGGGCCGCCATCTTGGCTTCAATCACGCGCAGCGCAATGGTCATGAGCGTATCGCGCGCCGCCCGCCGGCGTGCAAACCCGGGGAGCGGGAGGTAGCGCCACCCCGGAACGTACGCCGTGCCGAGGATCGTGAACAACGTCGCGGGGAGCTTGGCGTCATTGTACGCACTGCTTTCGGCCTCATTGGTACCGGCAATCGCGCCAAAGTCATAGCCAAACGCCGAAATACCGATAATATCGAGAGTGAGCTTGGCGAAATCTAGTGCAAACGACTCTAAAACTTTTCACACATAGGAATAACGTACACGTGTAGAGGTTGACGGGCGCGTTGGTGTCGATGAGCTTGTCGGCGGCCCACTGCGAGAGGAGGTGGCGGGCATGCGCGGCAAACAGCGGCACAAAACTCTTGAGGTTTGTATGGGAAAAGTGCGGGTTCAGCATGCGCCGCATCGCTGCGTGGTCGTCGCCTTCAGCACTCAAGAGCCCGACGCCCTGCACGAGCTTCTACACGCCGCGTTTGGATCCAAGTCGAAGACGCATAGAGTCGTACAGTGAGAAAGGCGCGCGAGAGATTGTTCCGCGGAAACTGCTTGGCGTTCGTCACGAGCACGTGCTTGAGACCGACGGGGTCGGCCAGCGCAATCTGCTCGCAGAGTTAGTAGTGTGCGACTAGAGTAGAGGGACGTACGCGATGGATGTGCAGCACGCGAACATAGTACGCTGCACCATACTTCTTGAGCCTACCGGGACGCGTCAGTGACCTACGTGGAAATGGCCAAGCGAGCATACCACGACAAGCCGGGCTCGGGAAAGCTGCCTTCACTCCAGCGGGTTTGAAAGACGTCGCGCCTAGGTATACACACATGAAGCTCTTGCAGCTGAAGTAGGTACGATGTACGCGTTGCCAAGCAGCCAATGCGACGGCTCGGGGCCAGGTAGACGCGCGTAGGAGAAGCGGTGGTCGACCGGGCAAAGCATGACGTACGCAATCATGAGGGGCACCACGACGGCGAGGAGCAGCGGAAGAACAACGTTGGCGACGTCGGCAAGCATCATGTTGCAGAATGAGCCGACTAGCCGTTAGAAAAGCCAACGTCAGTTCAGTGACACGCATTTCAATACAAAGTTGGTTCCTGCAACCGATTCGGATGAAAATGCGATACAAACCAGCGTCACGCAACCCCGTGAGCGACCCGTCGCACGTTGGCCATGCACGCACGGGCCAAATCTTCCACCTTTCTATTTCGGAGAACCTTCTGGCTGAAGACGTATGACTACACGAGCAGAAGTGCGGCTGCGGAAGCGACCGCAGAGACAGATCGGTGCTCGTGAAGTGAGTGGGGTATTGGGATACCGGCCCATCGTTCTTGCCCTGTTGTCGTAGCACGGGACTACGAGTGCAAAACCTGCGGCAAGATCGAAGACTTCAAATATTGATCGTTCATTTCCCAGCATGTTGCTGGACACGGACAAGACGGTTGGAAGAAAAGGGATTGACGGGAATCAGCATCGATAGCAGAACCAGAATAACGTTAGAATTTGTTTTTTAGTCGAGTTTCATTGCGTCGGGGTCCTTTCAAAAGCTGCGGAAAATGCACTCGTGTCCGCCGTGTATAGCCAGCCTACCGCGACAGCGACTACCATGACAGCGACTGACGACGACTGACTACGCAATGAGCTCACCCTGGAGTGGAACATGGTTCTTTGTAGTAAGCGCCCTTCTGTTTGTCGATGGGTCCAAGGTAGCATTGGTGCTAGCCCAAGGTCGCCGTGGCACCGCCGCTGCAACGGCTCCTGTACTCTGATCCGAGTGCTCGAGTCCGCTCGACCTCCGTGATTCTGCAAGAGGACTGGCTGCAACGACGTCATCGACCGAAATTCGCTGTGAACGCAACGGCATGCACTCGATCTTGAGCGCCAGTGACGTCAAACCAAAGTGTGCGCCATCAGCGCTCTCGTTCTTAGAAAACTGCCGCACATTAGCTTCGAATCGCGAGGAGTGTAAATGCAGCTCATTTCGTCGTCGACTGGATGCGATATAATGCCTTCTCTCGGCAGAAAGTGGGCAAACGAGCTAAGCTATCGGCGTTACCAGTCGCACCGCTCGTCGCTACATGCTGGCTAGGATACATCCGCCTTGCTACAACATCGTGTCTGAAACGGATAAGATATTTTCGTTGCTCAAAACCCAGCGGGCATGGCGCAGGTTCGACCGGCGCAGCCCGTTGGCAAAGGCAGGTACCCCTCGGGCGCGGCCACGACGATGGAGCAAGCGGCCAAGCTCGCGAAGACGGAGCGTGACGTGGCAATCGAAGAGGCCGCGGCAGCGCTCGTCCAAGTGCATGCGACCAAGGAGGAGTGCCGTCTCTTGAAGGAGGAGTTGGCAAAGCTGCAGCGAGGCAAACCTCCTGCACCGTACGATATCTCGTGCGTGGAGACCATGTCGCTCACCGATCTGCTCGGTAGGACTCAGCTGCTCGACAAACTCTGGTCCATTGTGCACAAGATTCACGGCGGCAACTATTCAAAGGCCCAGCTGTACCAAGTGCTTGTGGACCACCTCGGACCGTCTACGGTGGCCACGCGACCATTTCCCAGCGTACGCGCTATTGCAACGAGCAGACAAGTGAGACGTGGTGTGTAGGAGCAGCACACGACGGTGGACGCGACGAGTTTGGCAACCGAAGTCAAGCGCGAAATGGAAGTTCTTTTTGAACGCAGCGAAGCCTCGATGGTAGCGGTACTCGATGCCTCCCATGCGCAGCTCCACGCCAACCTGCAAGTGCTCTCGACACAGCTCTCGTCCTGCGGCTCGTGCGCCCGGTTCAAGCAGTTGCATGCGTACCAAGCCGATCTTTTGTTGCAGACAAAAGCCAGCTACGAGCTCCAGGTACTGTGCATCTTGCTGCGTTTGTGTGACGGGGGGCGTAGCTGCAAGCGTTTGAAGGGAAGATTGGCATCCTCTTCCAGCAACTCGAGCACGAGCAGCAGCGAAAGCAGGCAGTCCGGGCATCGGATGCGACTACCGTACGTTCGTACCCTCGTAGAGCATTTGAACATACTGCACATCTCGCTCTAGTCGGTACTGAATCAGCTCAAGAGTGCCGAGGCCAAAGTGCGCGCACTGGAAGCCCAGATGGCGATGACGTCGACGCAGCAAGCGCGCGCGTACGAGACGCGCATCGAGGCTCAATGCGACCAAGTGCGCATTTTGGAGCACCGATTGGAGCACGAGCAGTCGATGAACCTCCAGCTGCACTGGGAGATGGAGCGCAAGGCGTCCAAAGAGCTCGACGAACTCACCAAGACCAACACGGAGCTCGGGCAAGAGTTTTACATTCAATCCCAGCAATTGCACGAGCACGAAGCCGAGATTCGCGAACTCACAAAGACCGTCGAGTGGCTACAAGAAGCATGGCAAGGCGAGCGCGCGCAGCGACTGCACTACGAACACCAAGCGCACCACGAGGCGCCTTCCCACCCCCTTGACCTTCTGGTATATTGATCGAGTTGGCAGCCAAGTCTAAGCTACCTGATGCAGTCGTCGCCCGAGAAGATCACAAAGGACGCCACCGCGCAGACTCTGGACCTCGGAAACGTCGATACAATCGTGCAGACAAAAGTAGAGTGTTGCAACAAGCCGACGACAGCAGCATCTGCACAGCGCGGCTTTGATGCGGCGGTGCAATGTGTCCTACCGAGTACGATGATCCAAGCTACGTACGTATCTTCTTCCAGTGTATCTCATGTACAATCTGTCTACTAGCAACACGGACGACGCACTGGTGGAGGACTACACATAAGTATCTTTCTGGCTCACGCTTTTGCGTAGTTGTTGTCTGCGGTGCTCGGGCATGTGGAGTACCAGAACCTCGACGCCGACTGCCTGCGTGCGCAAGAGAACGCTGCCCGCTCCGAGGCTGCGCTGGTTGAGGCGCAAGCGCAAACGACTCAGTCTTGCAACGCAGCGGCGCAACACGAGGCGACCATCGCCAAGCTCCAAGCCGAGCTGCATCACGCATCCGAGTTGCTAGAAGCGGCATCAACTCAACCACCAGTGGACGACAATGCTGCGCTAGCGAGCCAGACAGCGCTAGAAGAGCTCCACGCGCGGTACACGGCCGATCAACTTCAGTGGCGCACCGAGACCTCACAGCTCGTGGCGACTGCGACAAGCGAGCGAGACTTTCTCACGAGCCGCTGCGTTGAGGTACGCTTTCTGGTCTATATACCGTTGACTAATGGTCAACGGTGTTGAAGCTTGACGCCAGTGCGGGGCTCGTCCGTGCGCAGCTTGCAATGCACGTACGACACTGGCGCCGCGAGTGCCGTGCAAGTCCAAGGATAGACGCGGCGACTTGATTCATGTAGTTTGTGGACGTATTATAGACATGTACAACTTGTCTACTTCGATGTCGACATGTCATCGTGATGGGTTATTCACTCGAGCTTTGAAAGCGAACGTCCTGAAATCGCTTCCACGCCGACCAAAACACCTTGTTGCACTTGTCGCAGACCCAGTACTCGTTGATGTGCGCCAGGGTCGAGTCCGAGAGCGCTTGCTTGGTCTGCGCAACGGCGGCGTCAACCAGCGTGAACGTATCGCCGTTGCACTGGGTGCAGCGCGGATGGACAAAGCTAGTCCACTTTAGTCCAAAGAGAATATCGCTGTAGATGCGTACGTGGGCGCGACCGAGCTGTGCTGCCCCAAGCCGAAATGCTGGAGCACTTGGCGAAGCTGGTCGCGCGGATCGGTTGTCGTTAGTAGAAAGCACGGCGCTGCACTGCGGCGTGCCGCCAGGCGACGGTCGGTCGTGAGCACCATGCGCGCCTCCGCGGCCGCCTACACATTACATTTGCCTCCTGATATCTCTAAAATGGACATGTACTTGGTCCAGTAAAGCGTCGCGGTCGTTCTCGCCTTGCGTAAACTGAACGCTGTCGATACCGCGCATGCGCAGCCAGCGCGCGAGCTTACCCAAATGAGAATCGACCAAGAACTTGGCGTTCGTCATCGGGGCAACCTCTGTATCGGCCGCCGACGCCTTTGACAGCGCTACGACGCGAACGTCGACTAGGGTCTGAAGCGTTGCCAGCGACAGCTGCAGCACCACGTGGTGCTCGCCACTGCCGACAACAAGTGTCGTCGCTGCAGCCAAGGAGCTAGAGTGCATGGGTCATATTTCTCGTACGCAATCATGGAAACACAAGGTCAAAGACCTACCTGTCGACGAGCAACGACATGGCCTTGCGGTGGGCCATCGGAGGGACACAACCCGGTGCGTAACCAAAGACATCGAGACACTCGGTGGCTTTGGCGAGTCGCACGGACCGCCGGGAAGCGCCCGTCGCTGTCGCCAAGTAGCCCATATCGAGCTTGGTCGTTTGAGGAAGAAGCGCCACCATCGGTACATCTGCACCAAATAACACTCGAGTGCTACACGAGAGTCACGAGGTTGATACCGTTGGCAAAAAGACAGAGCGTGTTGGCGGCAACAACATGGTCGGCCGTCAAATCAACCGCCGAGAGGTGCGATACGACGACACTGGCGTCCGGCGTCGACGCCAAGAGCTCGGCAACCGCGGCGCCCGGCATCGCCATCGACGTTGGCAGTCGCTGCTGCAGCGCGTACCGGGCCTCTCGACGGGCTGCCGCGTCCGCAGGCGAGGCCGCTGTGACACGCAGCGTTGTCGTGAGCGGCTGGAACCAGATTTCTGCGGCGTCGACCGCCAAGCACTCGGTGACGCGGACGAGACACCACGCGTCCAGCGCAGCATACCTACCATAGTACCTAGTACTCCTACCTATTCAATGGTAAGGGTGTTCATGTACATTTGCTGGTCCAGTGACAAGGGCCGTGCGTCCCAATTCGAGACTTGTTGGGTCTACGAAGCACACACCATATGACATACCATGACGTCAACGATGAAATACCTTGTCGAGCGGCACCCCGAGCACGGTCGCGACAACGTCGGACAGACTTTTGGCCGTCGCCGTCGGGCAAAAGTGGCGCAAGACCACATCGACCTGCGTGGCGACATGACATGTCGCATAGGGTTAGGAGTGGCGTCTACCTCGAGCAACGACTGCACTGTCACCTGTGGGAGAACCTCGGGGAACGTGTCGGCGAGAACTAGACACTAGCGTATTCATTCCGTCATTGGATATATAAAAAAGGTACCGCGCACGTCGGTCTCGATGCCAAAGCCGAGCTTGAGCAACCGCGGCTCGGCCAGCATCCACTGCACAACGTCCAGTGCCTTCAAATGCCCCTACACGCAAAATGAGAATTCTGCAGCAGCTCACAAGCAGCGTACTTCGATGCTGATCAAGTCGATGAGAAAGACGCGGTCGAGAAGCGCAACCTGGAGGAGGCTCGCGAGGCAGCTCTCGCCTTTCGAGTAGACAGGCTTCCATTCGAGATCCACGCCGACAAGCACGGGTTGCGTCGTCGCCTCCAGTGCTATCAAACAACATGCGTCGCCTGGCAAATGCTATTTAACACACATACCGTCGCGGAGACTGGCTTGCAGCGCTCGAAGGTCGTCTTGCGCATCGCAGATATCAATGGGCACAGTCTCAGGCAATACCACAAAGCTCGCCGAGGTCTACACCATGTCGTTGCTCAAACAGTGGAAACCTGTTCAAGGTCCGTACCGTTGCGGGGGCGGCAGCTGGGAACGCCTCGGCCGGCAAGTTGAACCTATCGTTGGCCCGTGAGATGGTGCGACATTCCTACATGCTGCGACCGACCGCTGGTGCCACTCGCGCGCGAGATCGACGTTGCCAGCAGCAACTGCTTTTTCCAACAATGTCATCTAGAGCGTTGTCAGCAACTACAGTACAGCTGCGGCATCGACCTGGAGGCTGGAGTTGCTTCCGACGAAGGACGCGGCGGCGGCCCACTTGCGCTGCGCGCAGAGCTTTTGCAACGACTCGGATCGAAAGGCCACCTCTATCAACGACGTCAGCGACCTCGCCACAGTGCGGCATCGCCGTACCAACGTCCGGAAAGCGATCAACGAGTCCATACGCATGGACGAGCCGGTGGGCCTAATGTGCACATATTGTCCTCCGCATCGAGGGCAATATTGTAAGAATGGTGGACGTACCCTTTTCATATCGCCCGCAGCCAGTGCCAGCGCAATCACCGTCGCGCAGAGATCTGAGATATCGTATTTTGAAAATCATTGCAATCGAAACCAAAACGTACCTTGGTGCGCGTCTGGCAAGAGCGAGCTTTGTGATTGTTTGAGGAGCTGATCGGCCAAGGGCCAGCTCTTTGTCTCGACGAGCGTTCTTAGAAACGCAGCGTAGGGCCACCTGTGCGTCGGACACAGCGCGATGCACTTGATCGCACTCGTTTGGCCCGCGGGGACCGCCACAAGGGACGCCACGTAGCCCTCGAAACAACTGACGTCCTGCAGGCGTGGCGCGAGTGCAAACACTTCAACGGCCTTGACGACGACCTTGGCTTCCTACACATCACATGGCACCTGGTGATGGCTGCGTAAGAATATCGACCTCGATGCGGCCACGTGTGACGGCTGCGAGGACGTTGGCGATGAGCTCCTGTAGATCGGTATCGTCGACGTAAGCTTCCCAGTGCCGAGCTTCGTCCATGGTCATGAGCACGAGATACGCGAGTGGCAGGTCGCCACTGCCTTCGTACCACAGCGCTGCGACCAGTGCCAGGAGGCGGGACGCCGCTGTCATTGGTGGCACGTCAAGCATGGCAGCTGCCAGCGCAGCCTTGCACGCGCCAAAGGCGTTCGTCTTGGTCGATGCGTAGAGCTCACGGAGCCATGCAGCCGTCTCGGCCGTCGTTTCCAGCAGACGGGCCATGCTGGTGTGAGCGTTCGGTCGGGATGTGGTAGTGGCTAATCGAACGACCATCATTCACAAATCGACCAGCATTCCGCGTCGAGTGACACGGAAACTTCGATTGGCAATGAGCCCTCGGCGGCGGATCGGCCGAACAAATGCCGAGTCCAATCGCATAGGCTTTGACAAATGAATGTTTTCCATTCATTCAGCAAGGGAATTTTTGTCTTATTCTCTTGCAATTGATCAACATATTTCACTGCATCGCGGTGGCTTCCTCGTTGCTCGCCCGCCGTGACGACCCTGTTTCAGCCTCGCTCTCAGTACAACAGTTAGTCGTATCGTGTAGTTTTCCAAAAGAGCCTTACACTGCCTTGCACAACCTGTACACTGTTATAACGCAAGAACCCGTTTCTCGACATGCATTTCATGTCGAATGCTGTGGTCTCGCATCCAGTTCAAAACTGCGCCAAAAACACACAATCTCTCTATTATCCGATGGCAATATCGACGCTAATGTATAACAAACAACTTGTCTTGCGGACTGAGCAGAATCTCTTCCGCCGGGTTCATCGACACGAAGCTCGTGTTGGTGCTGCGCGCACGGTAGACGCCGACACACAAAACCTCCTACGCCATTCTACGTCACATTGCCCGATCACGAGAGATCCTACGTGCTTGAGCAGCAAGTCTTGGTAGCAAAGCCCGTAGGGCTTGCTCCAATACTGCGACGGGACCGCAATTTGATCCAAGCAGCGCAAGCGGCGCGTGCTGCCGTCCGGACCCGGCGGCTCCCCGAGCACGAGCAAGTGAAAGAGGTCAATGATGCTGCCGTACGTGTTGCAGCTCCCAAGGAGCGCATCGAGCGAGTTGGAGATGAAGACTTTTCCTATCATCCCGACATGAATAGTGTCAGTCGCCATGTCGACACCTACCCGCAGCGTAGAGCGGGCTGCAAAGATTGTCCAGCGGGTCGTCGGCGCGGGAGATGACTTGGCGCGTCATTTGCTTGATGGCGCGTGCGTCGTCGTCCGTATCGAGCTTGGTATGCTCGTCCTTGAGAAAACGAAGGCTGCTCGGGCGGCTCTACCATAAATCGTCAAAACTCAAACTCAAAAACAATGAAAAAATGAAAAAAATCCTACCAACTCAATCGTGATTTTGGGCATCGGGGCGTTCGGCGCACAGTTGTTCTCGCACGCTTCCGTGATGAACCGATGAAGTGTGATCGCGTCCGTGTCGATCATGTTTTGATCGATAAAGTCCATCGCCTGCTCTTGGTCGTCGTCGTTGGCGTTGCGCGTGCAGGAGCCCAAGATGACGATCGTTGCCGCCGCGTACACTTGGGCTTCGCGGAGCGTGATTTCATGCAGTGGCGACGCTTGGAGGTAGTAGACAAACTCGTACGGCGCAATGCTCGCATACTGTTTTTCCGAAATCGGCAGCGGCGAAATTATGACAATCGGAATCGCATTGCTCATGTGCGACGAAGCAAGCACGTTCGGCATCGACGACGCAGTGTGCTGCATCTTGAGCGTCCGCAGCGGCCCAACAAAGTCGTCGAGCATGTTGGGCATCCCGCAGAGCACGATATGACTCTTGACATCGTGTGGAATGCGCGTCATCAAAAACATCTCGTAGCTGCGCACGAGGCTCTGCCGTGGCCCGTCCTTTGCCTTGCTCGACGGCTCCAGTGCGGTGACCGCGCTGCGCTCGTGGATGCTCCGTCGCCGCACGTCGGGCGCGGATACCTCGAAAAACGGTGTCGACGACAACATCGATGGGCGAGGTGCAGACGCCGGTGTTTCCGTCTGCACGAGTCGATCCAGCGTCACCGGCATCGCTTTCTCGACGTCTTGAGGCTGGTCTGGGGCGGAAGACTCGGACGGTTTGGGCAACTCGTGCCCCGACGCCGATACTTTCAAAAGCGGATCGTCGGCGTTGATGCTGCTCTCATGGTGCGCCTTGATCGGTGGCAACGCGACAACGTGCTCGGGCGCGTGCTGCGGCACTTGCAGCGGATGCACGACTGCAGCGGCGCACGGTGTTGCGTCCGCCACCGCACGCGGCGTGCTGGCTGCCTTCGCCGACGGCCGGGTGTCTGGCACCGGCACACTGGTCGCTAGCTCGTCGTCCGAGTCGTCGTCTATCGAGGATGGCTTTGGCTCGTGCGCCTCCGGTCCGCACGGCAGCACGCGTGTTTCATTCGGTATGTGGACACTGTCGGAGCGCGACCGCTTGAGCGAGAGCTGCGACGGTTTGACCGACAGCTGCGACAAGATGAGCGACGCGGTGCGTGAGACCGACGCCCGCTGCGCCATCGAGCGAAGGCGCGTCTTGATGCTGCCAGCGCCCGCATTCCACGCATTCGTGATCGAGTCAAAGTTGGGAATGATCGTGTGGTACCTAGTTGAAAAAAATGGTGAAAAATGCGTCCAAATTCCGACAAAATACAACGACAATGTACTTTTGAAGCGACGAGTACGAGAGGGATTCGATGCGGCGAACGCAGTCCGAGTGTTTTGAGAGCACAAACATGGTGTGCGTTTTGCCCACGAGCATACGCGCAGGAAAGAGCGAGAGCTCAAAATACGCATTGTCACACACCGCGAGCGGCACGGCCTGGAGCTCTTGAAACAAAATGTACGCAAACACCCGATACGAAATCGCGCCGTGAAGAAACGTTGGCGGACGCGCCTCGTACACGTCGTTGCCGCATCCCTCGAGGAATTCCGCGGCCCAGAGCGAACTAGCCAAGGACGTATATTGGACTTGTTTTGTCCAATATCAAAATTATACCTCTGGGTGTAAAACGGTCGAAACGTAAAGAGAATGTTGCACAGAAAGGCACAGAGACCGGGAATCAAGCACGATTTCGCGAGAATCCCGAGCTTGAGCTGGTCCACGCACACAATGTTGTTGGCCCCCGAGAGGTGGACGTGGCGAATGTTGTCCGTCTTGAGCACTTGCACAAAGAGCGGCACTAGATGCGAATGGAGATTGAGATTCGAGCTTTGAGATTCGCACCTCGCCGAGTGTAGTGGCGCAGCGAAATCGTGAGGAGATTCGACGCCGTGTCGCTTTGGTCGCCGTCATTCGAGAGCTTGTTGATCATGACAAAACAGAGCCGGGCAGTCGACGCACTTGCACGCTTGAGGTCCGAGTCGAGCATCGCCGAGCCTTGCAGGTATATGACGCGCTGCTCGTACGCACCGTTCAATAGAATGCGTTTGAGGTTGTGGGACGGCAATGACGGGCATAAGATGACCACCTTGTCCTTCCAGTTCATATTGTTGGGGTGCAGAAACTGCCGCAGAAAGAAATCCAACGCGCCCGAGTTGACTTCGCCGCAAATCAAAATGTGCGGGCTCTGCTCCTTCCGCTCCTTGAATGCCTTGTCGTACTCGGTCTACGTCGACACATATGCACGGTCTCGTCGTGTCGATCGATACCTCGCGGCTCAAGACGTCGCTGAGCTTGCTAATCTGTAGCGGCAGCAAAATACCCGTCCAGATGATGAGCCCAATCACGGCCACTTTGCCGTTCTGCGACTTTGGGGCAATGTCGCCATACCTAAAAATCAAAAAATCAGTGCATTTTTTTGCCATTTTCGGCGTCTTTTCGGGATTCCTACCCCAGTGTTGCGATTGTGATGACGACAAAATAGCACGCATTATAGATCTCCATGTCCTGGCAGTTGGTGCCGTTGGACGTGAACGCGGTCGAGCCATTCAAATGAACGAGAATCGTGTCCGGGCACGCCTCGATCGCCTGCGCCCGACGTCGAACTTGTTGGTGCATCCAGAAAGGAGTGTACCTGGATGATGCCAGCGCTGCAAATAATGATGCCCATGACGGTCAAGACAAGGACGCCGGTTTGACGCTTCTTGGCTGTCTTGGCGAACGCGAGCAGCCGAAACGCGCGCAGAAATCGAAGCGACCGAAGCGTCTTGAGCGCACTCGACATGCTCTTGACGGTCTTGATGTTGAGCTTGTCAAAGATGACCTCGATCCACTGGGGCAAGATCGTGACCAGGTCGACCATGGACATGGGACTGAGAAAGAACGACCGGCGGTTGTCGGACGCGTAGAGCCTGCACATATCAGACACTGTGTCTACGGGTTGAGTTTTGTACCGGAGACAATAGTCGAAGGTGAAGAAGACACTGATCGTGAGCTGCAGCGTGTCGATGCTCGCGTCAGTCGTTGTCGACGTGTTGAGGACGAGCCAGTTTTCGTTAAAGTAAATGATCGTGACGACAAGACTAGGTAAATACGACTTAGCATCCCGTCAAGACCACAAAGAGAGTACCCGAGAATCACTTGAACGACGTCAATGAACGACGCCAGAAGCGAATTGTCAATGTTGCGCCCGACCCACTTGCGGAAGGTCTCACCCCGCATGCGCGTCTTGACGAGCTTGCGGAGCTGCTTGGCCGCGTAGCGCTGCGACTGCAAGCAGCTGCGCCGCACCACCTCCTTCATCGGCCGACCCATGCCGTCGTCGAGGCAAAACCAAGCTACAACGGTTGCGAAGCACCTTTCTACGGCCGTTTCAGGAACAGTCTTTCTACGCGGGCACCAACCGTCGCACGCTCGTTCGTAGTCGCCTACAACCAGCTACCACAAGCTGTACCATCCATGTGCAGGATGCTGCAAGTAGGGCCTCGCGGCGCGATGTCCAGGCCGGCGTCTTAGCCACTGTTGTCGGTACTTCAGACAGCGCTATCCAGTGTAATGCTTCGTCCAACGCGCGAGAGCTGTGCGCTCGCTTCGACTCGGGCACATCAAAGCGTATTTTGTTGATCTTCACGCTACCCTTGCACTCGTGTCGAGCCGGACGCGTGGCCTAAGTGTCCTAAGTACACTATCGCGGATCGCAGTCCGCATGCAGAAGATGCTTCGCGCCACAGATGTAAGATGGAGGCAGCGAAATGGCAATATCGGTTCATTGCGTAGCCTGTGGTTGGAGGCAGGGCTCATCGGAAGGACGCAAGCTCGCATAGGACATCGATTGCTCGGTATCGATGGTTGATGAAGCGTCGCTTCTTCGTGACGAACTGCGCGTCCGTCGACTGCAGTCCCGTGGGCGAACGTTGCCATATGGCCCACCTTGCCGTTGCGCAAAATCCGGAGCAAACCCGGAGTCGGTGGGCATCCTCGGATTCACATCGACGTTGCCGCCGACCGGAATACAATGGCCCGAGGATGGCTCAAGCGGGCGCGGGCGACGCTACCCAAGCTGCTGGTGCGCGACGACCAGCACCATCGCCCATGGCAGGTACTTGCGATGGTTGCAGGCGCCTCCACACGAATGCCTGTAGCAACTCGCGACCTGGATCCTGCTCGTCCCACTTGTCGCGTCGACCGCCGTGAGCCTCGAACCATCGCAGGTGCGCTTCCTGATCCTCGCTCGCCCACGCCAACCTTCCGCGTAGAACGCCATCGATGTACAGGCAGCGCGGGACCGAATCGCGGCGCGGGCCCACGCCAACCGGATGCGGGCCGAGACCGCGCGTAAATCCCAGCACGTCGCCGCGCCTCGCCGCACCGTCGTCGCAACCGAACCGACGCTCGACCCAGCGCTACTGCAGACACTGGACGTTGAGGTTGGCGCGAGCAGCAGCATCGGCATCCGCCGGGCCATGGAAGACCGGTCGTGCGCCGTGACCTTCTCCACGCCCGGCGACGACCCTGTCGCGTTCGTCGCTGTTTACGACGGACACGCCGGGACGCACTGCGCGTCCTTCTTGGAGACGGCGCTCGTGCGCCACGTGCAACAGAGTCTGTCGGTCACGACACTCGGCTTTGGCGCGTTGCCGCATGCGATGCTCGGCCCGCTCCTCACGCAGGCCTGCGCCTTGGCCGACGACAGCTTTCTGCGGTCCCACGTCGCCGACGACAGCGGCAGCTGCGCGGCCTTTGCCCTCATTGGCCGAGAGACCTTTGCTGTGGTACACAATATGTCGCGTCGAGGCGTCACCTACATCGTCCCGGGGTAGGGTAACATTGGCGACTCGCAACTCGTGCTGGGGCACCACGGTGACGCGATCGACTTGTGTGCGGTGCACGCGCCCAACGACCCGACCGAGAAGCGACGCATTGAGGCGGCAAATGGCCGTGTCCTCAACAACGGACGGTATTTTTGCTGTTTTTTCCGAAATTCCAGCGACAAATCCGCATCATTGTAGGTATATTTTCGGCTACCTCGGCGTCTCGCGCGCCTTTGGCGACCGCATGCTCAAGGAAGACTTGGCCCGGCCCATTGTGATTAGCCAACCAGATGTGGTGGTCCGCGCGCGGTCGCCACACGACGAATTTCTCTTGCTCGCGTGCGACGGGCTCTTTGAAGTGATGACGCCGGCGTCGGCCGCGAGCTTTGTACGCGCGCATCTGCAAACCACTCCGACGAGCCCGGCCCAGGTGTGCGACGCGCTCGTTGCGCACGCGATTGCGTTGGGGTCCACGGACAATGTCAGCGTCGTGCTCGTCGTCTTTGCGCCGGAAGAACGTACACAACATGGAGAGGGTAGAGTAGGTTAAACGTCGCATACTAGTGGAGTGTTCTAAGTGTATCGCAAGCCAAAGTCCGACGCGTCGTCGAGCAAAAGCGACTGCGCCTCCTTCTCGGCCGCCGACATGGTCGTTGCCTCCATGCCAGGCTCCTACACGCCTCGTTTGCGCCATCCGAGATTGAGAGGACGTCGTACAGGGTTCAGCCGATACAAGACGAGGCCCAGTAGCACGACCGCACACGAAAATGCGTCACTCCACACAGACGAGAGCGGACCCTACCCCCATCGTGAGCCCCCCAATCAAGAAGCGACAAACGCACGTCTTGGTCCTGCTGGTACCACTCGAGAAGCACAAAGGCCATGGGAAGCGCGGCCGTGTACCCGCTGTAGAGCACCGAGACGCTCGTGTGTTGCAAGACAAAGCCGACGCCGAAGAAGGCGACGACTTTGCACACGAGGAAAAGGAGCAAAAGGCCGAGCCCGAGCTACAGCGCGAGGTTGATACAAACTTGATACAAACCTGCTAACAAAGTAGCGTACGTGGCACTTGTCGGTGCGAATCTCCGAGACGCCGTTGACCAAACACTCGAGGCCGCTGATGCGCTGGTCGAGGTGCAGCGCCTAGGCAATGTACATTATATCTCTCTTTCCAATTCAAAACTCAAAACTCAAAATTCAACATTCAAAATGAGAAATGAAACATGAAACATGAAAAAATAAGCAACAAATAAGAATCGGTACCGGAATATCGAACGCCAAAGGCGCGACGAGAAGACCGCCGATAAATTGATAGACCGCAACCCACGCATTGAGGTAGTAGACGTCCATGGGCTGCGTCGCAAGCGCCTTCTCCTTGTAGAGCACCGAGAGCGCGCCAGGAATCGCTGCCAAGAGATAGCACAGCGAATTCCACGCCATTTCTTGCTCTTCGTACACGTCGCTGAGCACCCTACGTCGACGATCAACGCCACGTGCTCAGCGAATCATAAGACTATAAATCTACATGGAAAAGACGGGGAGGAGGCCGACAAGGATGCCAGCCATCATGATGCTGCCGCCAAGCACATGGAACTTGCTGTACTCGTCCTTGAGGAGGATCTGGGCGAACAGCATCGTCGCCGGCACGGACGCTTGTAAAAAGATCACAGTGAGCGTCGCCGGCGTCTTGCCACCAGGTAGGAAGAGTAGCATCGACTAATGACCGTCACCATAGTCGCACCTCATCCTTGTCGGAGGAGCATCATCATCATGTGTACCTGGGCGAGGTCGAGCATGCCCATGACGAAAAACTTGGACTTTGGAAATTCGGTGACTTCTTCGTCGATGAAATCCTATGTCATGTGCTAAGACGACGCTAGTGCACATGCAAGTCGCACCGATTGCGTCGCCTTGTAGCCCACGATGCAAAACATCGGCGGAATGTAGAGGAACGTGCTCATTTGCATGAGAAAGTACCTAACCACGGTCAATGGGACGCAGCGGACCTAGGCGACTTGGCTACCGGTACGACTCCATGCGGTCGAGCATGAGCTTGAACGTAAAGCGCTCCGTCACCTCGGCGAGGACGAGCACAAAGAGCCCGCCGAGAACGACGACCGTCTAGCGCCATCATGAGCGATTGCGAGGCCGTATGCAGAGAGCACGCACGTGCATGGAGCAGAACTTGTGGGGCTTGCCCGTCCAGTCGTCAAAGCCGAGCAGCGACTTGAAGAGGTCCATGGTGACGGACGACGAGGCAGCGGGCGTCTTTGCGTCGACGCTTTCTTATTGCCCGACGCAGCCCACAAATTGTCGGATTTGTCGCATTTTAACCAATCACAGTGCTGTTCATTTTAGCGAATCGGACGCAACAGAAAGCCCACTGCTTCAACGTCGGCGCGTCTAGACGCACGCAACAGCGTCCCACCGCCTCAACTTCAAGTGCTCTTCGCAGCGTCGGCTGTTGGATGAAGTGCTCTCTAGTCTTATGCAACTAGAATATATGAACGAGAATACAATGTTGATTCGCCTAGTCGCTGGGGTACATCAAGGAACGAAATATTGCAAAACTCGATTGCTCTGGATCCGTCCTCGGGCTCGCCCGAGGCTACCCCACTGCTGGGAACTATTGTCGTAAATTCACATGTCGGTGAACATTGGACTTGCAATCGGGTACGCTCCCTGCGCTACCGCACCCGTTATTACCGTCACCAACTAGCCTGTCCTTTGTGGTCTCGCTCGGTCGGCCTTTTCGGAAACTTCCCTGGCCCTTGACAGATATGACGTTTGTTCGCATTGATAATCAACACTTCCTTGCTCCTTGGTGATGGCTAGCCTTGGCCGCAGCAGCAGGAGCACGCGGTTTTATACACCGCGTCAAGGAGGCGCGTGTCGCACGAGCTCGCGGCTCCTGACGTAACCAAACGACGTCGCTTGCATTCTCGCATTTCGAGAATAATCGCACGAATACACAAATCTATACTAGACAATCATGTGCGGGGTGTATTCAATTTACGTATGAGGGATATTTAGTGTACAGGACGCGGTGCGCAAAGCTTGTCAGCTACTCGGCCGTGAACATGTAGATAGGAAAGTCTTCCATGACGTCGTGCTTCGTCGTTGCCGTCGCGTTGGCCGTCGTCGAGCTTTTGCCAACATCGCGGGGCATGACGCGCTTGGAGAGACGGCGGACGTGGGCGTTCACTTGGGGCGTGCGGCTGCTGTTGACCGCGAGCGTCGTGCAGCTGCCGGCGATGAGCGAGACCGTGCCGAGGATCGGGGCGATGAGCGAGACCGTGCCGAGGATCGGGGCGATGAGGCGCGCTTGCATGGTGGCGTGTTGTTGGTGGAGAGAATCGAAATCTGGAAGTGAGCTCAACTTGCTAGCATGGGCGGTAGCCGCCATCCTTGCCTTGCGGATGCAACCAGCCCACCGTTTTTGCAGCGTCCCGCACGTTTCTATAAATTCGCCGCTTGTGATTGGTCCGCTTCCGCACTTCGATAAAATCGAGCGCAATGATTGGCTCGTTTATTAAATCCTGCGAAAAGCGCTGCGAAAACAAGCCACCGCGTGCAAGGCCGCGCGATGCGCTGGCGTACCAGCTCACCCACCGAGACATGGACGTTAATATCGCTGTGTATGCGCCTTAGGAGCGAAGACTACCGGCTACATGTGGCGACATGCTACGCGCAGCTGGCGGACTGGGTGGCGGCGAGGTCACGCTCTCCGCAGCGGGGCTCGTTGGCGGCGATGCTAACGTGCTCTGGACGCGGGCACCAAACTAGGCCGACCATGCTCAGATCCAGATGCAATGATACTGCAAGTCATACCAAAGCCAAGTCGTCGGCTCGCGCCAGCTGGGAAAGCTCGTGGCGTTCGGTGATCTGGGCGGCGGAAATTCGCACTTCTGGGTCGGTGCGCAGCATCTACCCACATGTCAGGTCCATGCTACTAGACGACTCTTCGTACCTCTGTGAGAAGTCGGGTCCACGCCGCCGAGTACGGGAGCGTTGGCAACATTTCTTCACGGAGCGCATGCCATGCAGGCCCGTCCTGGGGCAGCGGATGAGCCAAGTGACTGAGCTCGAATAGCGTCATGCCTAAGACACCGCGTCAGCCATCGATGCCCGATACGACAAAGCGCGGATACCGAGCGAAAAGATGTCGGCGGACGCAGCGCGCGTCGCAGTCGTCAGTAGCTCGGGCGCCATGTAGCGCTGGTCGCCTTCGCCGTCGCTCTCGTCGCCGACGGTCGTGGCGAGGCCAAAGTCGCCAATCTTGATGCTACCGGGGGTCGTCACAAACAAGTTGGCGGGCTTGATGTCGAGGTGCACAATGCCATGGGCGTGAACAACCGCGAGGCCCTAGTATGTGGTTGCTTGAGCGTACGACGGAGCATCCTACTGCGTACCGACGCGACGTCATGCAGAATGTGCCAGAGCACCGCCTCGGGCACTGCGCATGTATCGTTTCCTCGAAGCACGTCGAGCCAGTCTTGGAGTGTGCCAGCCGCGCAGAGCTCGAGTTGCATGTAGAAAAAGCCTATCAGAAATGAGTCTATCAACTTGATACGATGACGTGGCGGACGGACGTACCGCGCTCTTGCCACGCTTGGTAGTACTGCACGAGGTACGGGCTCGTTGGCGCTGATGTCGCCAGCTTTTCGTACACCTTGATTTCTTGCAGCATCCGCTCGCTACAAAACTCAGCGTCAAGTTTGGTTGAAGAGGACAGGAGGCTCCGCACCGGTCGCGCTTGCTTCGCAGCGGCAACTTCGATTTCTTGACGGCAAACGCATCGCCCGCCAGCGTTGTGACCTGCAGAGCATAAGAGTAAGTACTGCAAGTGTCGTCGAGGGGCGTACATGGTAGACGTCGGAGAAGGCGCCGGCGCCGATCCACGTGGCCGACCGGAACGACTCAAAGTACGACGTCTGGACAGGCACGTCGTCGACTGTGCCACCGCCAAGCGTGAGGAGCACCTTGGTCGACGCGAGCGAGCTCTGTCGATGCAGGCCGCCTCGGACGGGCGTGAGCTTCTTGGCCCATGGCGGCGTGCGCATCGGCGTCGGTGGACATCGACTCGACCGATGTAGCGCCCGGCGCAGCGACTTGCGGGGCTGAGCACTGCTGCTGGCTTCGTCAGATAGCACGTCGTCGGCAAGCGACGCCGCGCTCGTGTCCAAGTTGAGGCGGCTATGGTCCGCGACCGTCGTCTCGCCCTCGCTGTCGTCCGAGATGTCGTCAAACTGAGACGAGAGGTTCGTGCGCACGGCGCTTTCGCTCTTTACGGACGGTGATGCGCGTACACGTGGCGAGCCGGGCGTAGCCCAGGCCGGGCTCGCGGTCGGGCTCAATGGTAGCATCGGGACGGGCGAGAGGTCGTCGAAGCGGAGCTTGCTGCGGACCGGTGACCCGCTGCGGGTGATGTGGTGGCGCTTGGGCAGCGGCGTCTTGAAGGCAGCCATGTTGTTGCTGCTGCTTTCGGTCGGGAAGGGCTCCCGGGTCGGGCTACGCTCCATCGTCGTCGAGCGTCGCTTGCTGGAAAGTTCGCCGTTGGCGGCAAGCGTGATTTTTGACCAATCAGATGGCGCGATGCCATTTCTCAGGGCTGCCCCATCGTCGCCGATGCGAATTGTAGCCAATCACAGAGCGCATTGTAGCATCAGGTGGCAAGCTCGATCGCACGACGCGGGAAAACACTGTCTTGACGACAAGCGTTGACATATCGACACTAGATGCTGCTGCAGGAGCTCTAGGTGATACGTCCTAACAGGGGTTTGGACCAGTATGTCGCTGCACGGAGCTATCATCTCCGGCAGCCGATCGGCCACTTCAACACCTTCAAGTCAACATTAAGTGTTGTCGTTGAAGATGGCCCATTGCGCTTGGTTTGGCCGGTACGTCAAGCTGAGGGCGCTTGGTCGGGGCTCGGGATTGAGTGGGGAATGAGGTAGCGGGCACACCAAGGGTCGGCGCGTAGGGCATGGAGCGACTCGGCAAGCGAAGGCACCACGGCGCGGCGAGCCAAGTGCCGGATTAGTGTCCTCCAGGGGTTCGTAAATGGCCCTAGTGTCCTTGAGCCAGCCCAGGTATCCCATCCAGCGAGCGCGAATGGCACACATATTGCGATAGTAGAGTGCATGGAGCGACTCACACCAACTCCGCTACCGAACTTGCTGCGAACGACTCCTTCCACGACGCCCGAGATATGCCGCTCGGGTCGCGCAACCATTCAGCGCGTCATGAGGGACCGCCCACCCATCGACGCAAAGTGTACGTGGCCAAGAGGTGCACCACCTGTCGACTCGGTCTACACGAGTCCGACGTTGCCCTATAAATAGAGTGCGATGAACAAGGCGAAGCGCAAGCTCCGGTGCGACGCAGCGCCCACGCCAAAGTCGGTCACCAGAGTCTTTGTAGAGAGCCGCGCGTCGAGGCCAAGACTGGCCCGCTTTCAATGCATTTATCGATTCCGCTCCGGCCCCAAGAGCGCCCAACGGCCTTTCCGGATGGGTTTTACGCGGTTGTCGTCAAGGAATATGCAACCAAGTACCTCGAGCAGCTCGGCGCCAACCCGACCGCGGACAACATGGCGCTCGTGCTTGCCAACGTGCCGATCGACAAGTGCCGGGTGGCGCCCGGGTGGCGCTCGCGCGGCTGCATCGACGACGTGCTTGTCATCGACACGAGCCCGGTCGCGCCCCGCGCCGCGTCGCCCGAGCTCCAGCCGCTGTCCAAGCCAGAGTACTACACTATAGGACAATCGAATGTCTACTCTGTCGACGACCAATTATTAGGACACCTACGTCCGACGAGCGTGCCGTGTTTGGCACCGACTTGGCCAAAAACTACCGCGTCGGCCACGTCGTGCTCTCGTTCCATGAGATGAAGCACCGGTACCTCTTCCCTTTCAACCAGCTGTTCAAGGTACGTTAGTTGTTTAAAGATTGCACAATAATGTCTGTGATATCAGGTGCCAATCGAGTACGACCGAGACGGGTTTCCGTGCACGAAGCGCGTGACGTTTTCGGTCGCGCCCGAGCGCCGCGTCTACAAGCCGTCGCCGGCCGCGCTGGCCGAGATTGACACGCCGCTCCACTCGCTCACGTTTGAGACCATTTTAGGTTGACCATTGTCGATTCCATACGCGATGTCGCATTATGACGTGGCATTCTAGGCATGCAGGAAACCTTTCATCGCGTCGTTCCATTCGATATGCTCGACATCCACGACCGCAACGAACACGAGATCGTCCGCAGCTTTCTCGTGTCGTCGACGACGCTCGAGCTCATTGGATACCTTGCCCACTACGTCTACTGGACTGCGTTTCGCCCGCTTGGCGACCTCTGCCGCTCGATTCTGTGCGGTGTGACAACCAACGAAGACGACGAGTACCAGCGGCTGCCGTCGACACCGTTCTTGTCGCACAATGAAGTCGAAGGTCTCCTTGTGTCCGTACTCGACGCCTTTGAGACCCTCAAGCGCAGCGTCCACGACCGCGTCCGGCCGAAAACAACCACGCGGAGTACAACGCCCGTGCTGCCGCTCCTCCTCCTCTCGCTCCGCGTCTCGCTCGCCACCATTTTCCGCCTGTCGTATCCGCGCTGGTTTGACGAGACGGCGCTGCGCGTCGAGGTACTTTGAGAATGCGCTGTTGGAGGCTTTGTTGGACGGGATTCTGTGTAGCCGACGCTCATGATGCTCGACGACGTTGTCGACAAGGTCTTGGACCCGAACCACTTTTACGCCCACATTGGCGCCCTCGAAGCGACCTCGGACGCCATCAACTTTACCAAAACCCATGCCTACAAGCTCCAGAAGCGCAAGACGCACCTTCGCAATTCATTTTTTGCCACGAGCCATGGGCTGCAAGCGCTGCTGCCGACGCCGTCCTCGGGCGGGCCACGACGCATCCTCTCCCAAGGCGGCGGCACCAGCGTTGCGCACTACACGACAGTACCAAATGCTATCTCGGGTCCGCCCATGTCGTTGGTGCACCGCATGAAGCTCCTCCGCCTCCAAACCCAGCGCCCGTCGTAGCCCATTGTAATAGACAGCACTCGCGACAATGGAGGACCGAGGTCAAAGACTTGCATCGCATATGCTTGGACGGGCGCCGCTTCGCGACTGGCGTTTTCATACAGGCGCGGCTGCGTCGACCGACGGTCGAGGTAGATGTGGCAGGCTCTCGCGATGCCACGTCATCAGATGGCAAGATACGGTGAACGAAAGAAAAGCAGAAAAGTTTATTACAAATACGTCAACAAGGAGCTCACGACGCCATGCACGATACCTTTGTACTCGTACAAGTAGTCGTCGAGCTAGGCGTCCAGCGCAAGCTAGTGTACAGGCATTCAGAGCGGTCTTGGTGTTGCGTGATTTCCGCTAAATAAGCGAAATTCCACAAAATAGTGGCAAATCCGTGCAACCCATATCATCTTTTAAAACAAATCACGTCGTTATACTTGCTGTTTGTATCAACTTTAAAATCGAAGGAAAGAAATACCGTGTGCGGCCACGAGTGCATTTTCCAATTTTGCGTCCAAGCCCAGCATGAGCTCGCCGTTCGAAACTCTCTTCGGCGCCGAAGTCCAGACCAAGGCCGGGCTCAAGCCGACGGCCGAGGCCTTTGCCGGCAAGACGATCGTGGGCATCTACTTCTCGGCCCACTGGTGCCCGCCCTGCCGCGGCTTCACGCCCGTCCTCTCGGAAACCTACGCCGAGATCCTCGCCGACGACCACAAGGAATTCGAGCTCATCTTTGTCTCGTCCGACCGCGACGAAGGCGGCTTCAACGAGTACTACGGCGACATGCCCTTCCTCGCGCTCCCGTATGCGAACCGCGCGCAGAAGGACGTGCTCGCCAAGTCATTTGACGTCCGTGGCATCCCGACGCTCGTCTTCTTGAACGCGGCCGGCGACGTCATCACCAAGGACGGCCGCTCCGTGGTCATGAACGCCCACGGCGATGTCGGCGCCGTCTTGGCTGCGCTCACCAAGTAGTTCTGTGTTGGTGTCGTGACAATAAGATCTTGCATATGAGACTGGGTACTGTCGCCCGTGCATAGCCCAGCGTTTGCTTTGTGCCGTCACCAGTGGCATCGATCTTGCATCGTACGATCGACCATGCGCTATACAGACGAGGTGGGCACGTGTGTAGATGCATGCAAAATATATTAGGTAGACTCAAAGCGAGAAAAGCCGGCATTCTACATGCGGCGATAGGCAGACGACGTTGGCGCCGGCGTCACAATGGTCGTGTTCGGCGTCACAGTAGTCGCGTTCGGCGTCACAATGGTCGTGTTCGGCGTCACAGTAGTCGTGTTCGGCGTCACATTAGTCGTGTTCGGGCACGGGGTGCTACCAGCAGGCGTCGGGCTAGGAGTGCTCGAAGCAGGTGCCGGGACTGGCGTCACGTTGGTCGGGTAGGGCGTGCTCGAGACAGGTGTCGGGACAGGCGTCACGGTGGTCGGGCAAGGCGTGCTTGAAGTGGGGACAGGGCCAGTCGTTTCGGGCTTGGGCGTCATCGACGTTGGGCAAGGAGTTTCGGTCGTCGGGGCCGGAGACGTCGTTCCTGGGCACGGCGTACTCGACTTAGGGGTCGGCATCGGTGTGCTCGTCGCGGGCGTAGGCGCAGGCGTCGTGGGTGCGGGCGTCGGCGTCGAGGAAGCAGGAGTCGGCGCAGGGGTCGAGGTGGTAGGCGCTGGCGTCGAGGTGGTCGGCGCAGGTGTCGACGTCGTAGGGGCCGGCGTCGTGGGCGCAGGCGTCGGAGCAGGCGTCGTGGGCGCCGGTGTGGGTGCAGGCGTTGTCGGCGCGGGCGTGGGTGCAGGCGTCGTGGGCGCAGGCGTTGGCACCGACGGCGCCGGCGTGGGCACAGAGGGTGCCGGTGTAGGGACCGACGGGGCTGGCGTCGGCACCGACGGCTTCGGTGTCGGCGGGTTCAATGGCTGCACGGGCGAGCCGTCGAGGCAGCCCACCTGGTAATCGGGCAGCGCCCCCGTCGCGACAAACCACGCGGCCGGCGCCCCCGAGATGTCAAAGTTGATTTCGCTCGGCGTGTCGGCCTCGCTGTAGTCCCACGACGCGCACGTCGTCGGCACCGAGATCGTGTCGCACTGCGGCGTTGAAGTGCCACAGGGCACGGACGGGAACGCGCAGCCCCAGGCCGCGTTTGCGAGCTGGACGCACTTAGCGTCTTCCTTGGCAATACACGTCTGCGTCGTCGCATCGAACGAGGGCAAGTACGGGTGGCAGTCCTGCTTGGCCACCGTGCCCTTCAACGGGCACGCAATGCCAGCCGGCGCCACGCCGGCACCCGCGCAGATCGCGCCGGCAATGTCATACGTGGCGTCGCGGCAGACGCTCACTTGGGTTGCAGTCGTCGTGGCGAGGGCGAGGGCGAGGGCGAGGAGCATCGTCACCGACTTCATGGTCGTCGTCTTGCCTGCTCTTGGGTAAGTTTCCGAATGATGCAGCGAGCGCGAGCCGGACCGGCGCGCATACAAACCGCAAGACAGTCGGCTGCTTGCGCAGCAGGTGGCGCGGCCGACAACTGGCCGGATCGCATTTTATACCATTTCATACAAACACCAAGTGTAATGGTTGTGATTAAATTCATTACGACACGCTTCGCAGCTGGCTAGAATCACGCACCGACCGGCTTGCCCAAAATGAGCGCGCGGTGGAATGGACGCGAATTAAGCAGGCGACGCTTCCACGCTCCACGAACACGGGACGCTAATCGCACGCCCCTTAAATGGCGCTAAATTTTCAGCGCACATGCGTACGCCTGTCACAGAAAGCGCACCAAATGGACGAAACCCGCCCTGAAATCGCGAGAAAAGCGCACCTGGTGCCACGACGCCGCATGCTTTTCTCTACCTCACTCAACGTCGTGCGAAGGCTCGTGCCTGTTGTCGGGAGGCGGCTTGATCGAGTGCACGTCCTAGGCGTCGAATAGTCATACACGTCCACGGCAAAGGAACCATGCCGAGCGTTTTGATGGCGAGGAAGAAGAACAGTTGTGATAGAGAGGACGGAAAGAAGCACCGAAATCGAAAATGGAAAAGCGCACCCATATCCCATATGCCACGCTACCATTACAACCGCAAATGCAAATTCAGAGTATCCCGTCGTCTTGGCAGAGATCTTTCTTGGATTAATAAGGTTGTGCTTGATTGCAACCCAGAAGGACGACGCTGCTTGGGTGTTAAGCTTAGTGTAAGCTGTGCTGGCATAAATATATGGGCTACTCGTTGCAAAGCGTCGAAGTCGCGTTTCGTGTTGAAGTTGCAGCGAGCGAGCACGTGCAAGGGTGGAACGCTGCACTGTAACCTTTCCGCACGTCCCGTTTTCGTAGATTATCTTTGCAGACAAATTTGTTGTCGTTGGCAAGGCCAGAGGAATATTTACGAGCGGAGAGATACTTGGAAATATTGGTAACCACAGACCGTAAATTTACCCGTCGGCACGGTCATGGCCCCGAAATGTCAGCATTGGTGCACCAAAGTGGTGCGCTTGCCGCCTTCCGTGTCGTACTATCGATGGTCTCGTTGTCCTTCGACCAGCGTCTTGCCGTGCAGCTGTGGCAGCGAGTTCAAGCATGCGTTCGTTGCACAGTCTCGTTGGCTTTTGTTCACTCGTTTGGTTAGGTTGACTGCCAACTCGATCTGTCTTCGCTAGGGAGCCCAAGCATGCAGCAGTCGATGCGAACGGGGAACGCTTCGATACAGGGCTCATCGACTTTTGTCGACTTTTTTGTCGACTTTTGTCGACTTTTTGTCGAGCGCGTAAGCAATTACTAGTATGCAATAAAAGGTGGGGGGATACATCGGTTCGCGTGGTGATGGCTAATGAGCCTTTTCCTGCACCACTAGACTAGTAGTAGTACATCACATAATCTCATTTTCGAATAACTACGTCAACTAAACCAGGTACGCACTATCAAAACTGTCAAGAAGGGATAGGTCTTGTCGCCCTCTTTTAGTCGAACATTGGATTACCAGCTGGTAGGTCGAGGTAGAGACTCTCTGCTTCAGTCTGTCCGACAACTAGACGTCGCTTCCGACGGGCTTTATGGAGCCCCTCGTGGTTCCGGAAGGAAAGTGCAGAGCTCTGTTTCCATTAGAGTTCGTCTACTAAGTCGTCGTCCTCGCTGTCGACTCAAAGCACAATCTCGAGGTCGGCGCCAGCTTTGCCCTTGTAAAATGAATGTTGGTGCTCGTTGAAGAGCGCCTTGACCGCGTCAACGTACTTGGCGTGGTAGAGATCGATCTCGGTCTGCGTCGGTGCCGCCCGCTTGGGCACCTCGACCGGCGACCCGACGACAGTATACAGCGGCGTGCTCATCGGCAGCGGGCCGCTCGTGACGCACGGCATCGAAAACGTAAAGGTCTTGAGAAGCTTCTCTTGGACGGTCCGGAGCACTGACCCCACCGGGTTGGCCACCTACCCCATCTGAGCATCTCTGGCTTTGTCGGAGCTACCTGCGTGAAGAGGTCCGTCTCGCCAAACGTATAGACAGGCACGAGGGGCACGCCGTGCTGCAGCGCTAGTTTGACAAAGCCTTTGCGGCGGTTGAGGACGAGCCGGTTGGTGCCAGGGTGCGACTCGAGCGCCTCTTGGGCACCGCCGACCACGAGGCAGGCCGACCGGCCGCAGCCAAGCACGTTCGAAAGCGACTTGTAGCTCGCATCTATCAATGTATCAGTACACTCATCCCACGTGGCCGCACGAGAACGCACCGACAAAGCCCAGGGCGAGCAGCAAATCTTTCCAGAGCGGGACACGAAAGTTCAACCCGACCGTCGCGAGCGCAATGTCCAAATCTTTGTTCTTACGCGAAAAGTGAATCGAGTCGCCGCCCTACACCCCTGTACGTAAGACAGATTGCCCTGCCAGAGGCGTGTACAAAGGCCATCCAGATGCTTATGCCAATGATGCCTAAGGTATTGCATGAGCGTCCATTGCAGGATAGCATCCTCACCGTGCGGATGCGCGATGAAAAAGTAGTTCTTGGTCGCATCCAACTCGTCGTCTTGGTGCAGCGTGTGCGGAAAGTAGAGGCGCTACGACGCACGTGACCTCTTGATCGTCGGCGTTGCCGGCATCGACGTACCGCGTAGTCCCAGAGCCTACGGTGCGAGACGATGAGGTCATGGCACGGCACGCGGACACTACCAAGTGGTGCGCAAGAAGCGCACGACGCGGCCTCTGCCGTTGTACGCGGCGCGGTCAACTAGATTGGCGTGGACAAAAAGCTACGAGCCATGAGCGGCGAGAGGCGGCGACGCCATCGGTACCGCGAAGACGAGCAGCGCGCCAAAGGGCGGCAGCCGCGATGCAATGAACGCAAGGAGGCATACGAAGCCCGGAAAGAGCGCGTAGATGCCAGCCAAGAACGCCTTCTGGAGCCTACGCGCGCGTGATCCGGCGACGCCCCCTCGACGCGTTCTTACGTCGTGGCCATGGGTGTGGCTCCGTGGTGATGAGGATATGCATGGCATGTGCCACATTTAGTAGAAATAGTGTAAATGGTGTTGGGCGCGAAATAGGGTGATGTGGGACCACGCGCACGTGCCCCACGTGCTCGTGCGGGTGATGCCGGTACACTCCATGCGCTGTGTTCCCCGCACGTGCAGACGCACGTGCGCTGGCCATCGGACACGTACCATGCCGAATCTAGTCGCGCGATGCCACCTTGCGAATACAAGCCGGTATGCAAACCTCTCAAAATGAATGTTGAAGATCAAAGACGACGGGATTTTTGAGCCACAGACGAGATGACAGCCTTGCTACCGGCGACAAAGCGCCTCATCGACGGCCTCTTCCATGGCGCGTCGAGCGCCGTCGCGCGGACGTCCCTCGCGCGCTCGATCACGCTCGTCGAGTCGACGCTGCCCCGCGACCGCTTCCAAGCCGAGCTGCTCCTTGACCATGTGCTTGAGCAGCGCAAGGCCCTCGCCGCCAGCACGACGACGAGTGGCACGCCTCATGGTCACGCGGCGTCGTTCCGCATTGGCATTGCAGGCCCACCGGGCGCGGGCAAGTCGACCTTTATCGAGACGCTCGGCTTGTCTTTGACGAAGAAGGGCCATAAAGTCGCAGTCCTCGCGATCGACCCGTCGTCGTCGGTGACCGGTGGCTCGATCCTCGGCGACAAGACGCGCATGACGCATCTCTCCAACAGCCCGGACGCCTTTGTCCGCCCGTCGCCGACCCGCGGGACGCTTGGCGGCGTTGCCCAGCACACGAACGGTATCGGCCCTCGCTTCGATGGCATCGTCTTACTGCAACCGATAGAGATCGTATTGCTCTGCGAAGCGTGCGGCTACGACATTGTCTTGGTCGAGAGCGTCGGCTTGGGCCAAAGCGAGATCATCATTGACGATACCGTCGATATGGTTATGCTTCTCGTGCCACCGGCCGGCGGCGACGAGCTCCAAGGCAGCAAGAAAGGCATCATGGAGATCGCAGACGTAGTCGTTGTCAACAAGGCCGACGGCGAGCTCAAGACGTACTACACCGTCTACTCTTCTTCTCCTTAATAGGAAGCGATGTGTCTCGTAGGCCGGCCAAGCACACGGCAGTCGACTACATGCACGCGCTGCAGCTCGCGCGGCGCAAGGAGCCCGAGTGGAAGCCGACGGTCAAGATGTGTTCGGCACGCGAAGGCGACGGCATCGACGGCGTCTGGGACGTCCTCACCGAGTTTCGCAAGACAATGAACGCCGTCCACAAGATCGAGGCCAAGCGCGCGCGCCAGTCCTCCAAGTGGATGTGGAACCAGCTGCACCAAGAACTGATGGCGATGGCCAAGAAGAATGCGTATGTCAAGCACGAGGCAGCGACGCTCGCGCCCGACCTCGCGCACGGCTTTATCAGCCCGCGGTCCGCGGCGCGCAAGCTCCTCGAGGATTTTTTGGCCCACCCGAAAAACAAATAGTGTTCCGACGCTGCAAAGACGACCACATACATGTACATACAAGTCTGTGGATTGTCGACTCGTGTGTTCCTTGGAGGTACCGCAATGGCGATCCTCGGTACGACTCGTAGTCCATGTACTGCACCTTGCCTTGTTCACTTGGCTGCAATTCAAATCGGCATGTGCCGAATCAGCCCGGATCTTGACGCCGCGAATGGCTTGTAATTTGGTCCACTCGCCGCTCGACGTTTTCAACGCGCGCCATCGATTGGCTATTGCCAGCCAATCAGATGCCGCGATTGGATTTCGCGATCCACAAGATACCAAGATAGGTACAAATAAGCTGCTTAAATCATACGGACTTGGAGAGACTAATGGCAGAAAAGTGCGTGAGGGTATCCGCATGGACGCGGGGGGTCGTCGTACTCGACGAGAGCACGACGAGCGGCGCTCGCGGGACGAGCGGGATGAGCGTCGCGCCCGTCTTCTTGATATGGAGCGTCAAGTGCTTTTTTTCTTCGATACACAGCCGCTTGGTCGGTGGACAGTTGGTGTTGTTGGTGGTCGTCGCCGACGCTGCGTACCACGAGAGCACTTGGAGCGCGCAGACTTCGGCGTCGACGAGCGTCGAGACGCGTTCGCGTAGCACAGGCGACACGACGGTCGAGAGGAGCTCTTCTTGGGACGGAATGATGGCGTCGGTCGAGTCGGACCGCGCCTTTCGTGGCGGGCTGTGGTCGCCCATGTCAGTCTCTAGTCGCGAATCATGAGGCGCTAGCACGCTTTGAGCGAATGACGTACCGGCCTCGCTCGGCGCAGTGCTCGCGTCGTCTTCGTCCGACATGTTGACCGGGTTCTCGACCTTTTCGCCCGAGAGTTGCATCTCGGCGTCCTTGGCCAATTTCGCAAAGTACTTTTGCGCATGGCTTCGAATCTGCGCCGACGTGCGCGTCTTGATCTTGGACGCAACTCGCTTCCACTCGCGGCCGTAGAGGTTGAGCCCGAGGAGGAAGCTCTCGTGCTCCTCGTCGGTCCAGCGCCCGCCGTTCATGCCCGAGTGCTTCTTGCTCGCGCTTGGCAGCTTCTTGGCCACGTCCATCACATGCGTCGTCGATGGCATCGGCGTACTGCTGCTCGCTGCTGCTGCGTCCATGCTGCCCGGTAGCGCGCTGTGCGGATCCAAAACTCCTCTGAAGATATCCAAAGGAACGCGTAATATTTTTATCCGGCCCAAGTGCAATGTCGGACCATACAAACACCAAGAAGATACCGTGGTATCCGCTCTATCTGCAACGCGAAACGACCCGTGTCAGGCGCCAGTTACCAAGATATGCTGCGGATCTTGGCCACTCGGCGCCACCGCCAGGAGCACGGAAATGACGCCAGCATCACAGGCCCTCGACCGTCGCGACGCCATGGCTTGTGTGCAATAAGAACTAAGCTGGGCTCATCATCTAGAAATAAGCTCGGTTTGTCAACTGTGATGGCCGCTTGTTGCCGGCAGCAGCCTTCATCGAGTTCCGATGTCGTGCCAGAGCGCAGAACCGGGTTTGTCATTATCCTCGAGGAGAAGGTGTATCATTCGAGGTTAGCGAGTAGGTATGAATTAGCAAGGATACACATCTAGTATATCTAGTATAAACCCCATTTGCCACGCCGTGGCAACCCCACTGGACGAAAGAAGTCGACAACGTGCCAAGCTCATGAGGCCATTTGGCTGCCACCGAGTTGCCATGCAGCGTACGCGTTGCTTCTGTACCGTAAACTCGGAGCGTATACACAGCTTTCAAAATGGAATAGGAATGGATTCAAGCTTAGGCCTTGGTCTCATCGAGCTGGCACTTGGCAAACATGGCCATCGCGCCTTCGATTGCGACCTTTTCCTTCTGCAGCGCGTCCCACTTGGTCGCGTCCGCGTCACGGACGTTGGCCGGGACCTTCGCGAGGTAGTCGTCGCGCGCGCGCTTCTTCTCGAGCGCAGTCAGCGACGGCAGCATCTTCTCGAGCTTCTTCTCGAGCTTGGAAATCTCGTTGGCAAAGTCGACGAGGCCCGTGAGCGACACGTGCAGCTGCAGCTTGTCGCTGAGCACGTGCATCGCGCAGCCCGACGGCGGCGCCGTGTCGAGCAAGCACGTGGTCGACCCGACCTTGGCCAACGTGCCAAAGTCGTCGACCTGCGTCTCAACGATCGCCTTGAGCGACGCGTCCGCGCACTTGAGGTAGCAGAGCGGACGCGCCGCGTTCGCGAGGCCGTACTCGGCACGCAGCGACCGACCCGCATGGATAATGTCCTTGATGAGCTCCATGTTGGCTTCGGCGGCCGGGTTGGCCCAGGTCGCAATCGCGCCGGTCGCTTCCGGGTACGCCGCCACGACGATACTCGACGTCGCGCGCTTGCCCGGGAGACGCTGCCAGAGCTCTTCGGTCACGAACGGCATGATCGGGTGGAGGAGGCGGAGGCCCATTTCCAAGCAGAGGAACAACGTTTCCTGCGCCGTCTTCTTGGCGTCCGCGTCCGTACCGGCAATGACGGGCTTGATGAGCTCAAGGTACACGTCGCAGACGTCATAGAGCCAAAAGTTGTAGAGAGCCGTCGTGACGTCGCCAAACGCATAGGTCTGCAGCGCCGTGTTGGCCGCCGCAATCGTCGCGTGGAGGCGGCTCAGAATGAAGCGGTCGCGGGGCGCGACCGACTTGTTCGAGAGAACAGTCGCCGCGAGGCCGTCGTGGAAGCTTGCGCCGCCCTCGAGGTTGGTCATCGCAAACCGGGTCGCGTTCCAGAGCTTGTTGCAGAAGTTGCGGTAGCCCACGAGGCGCTGGATGTCCAAGTTGATGTCACCGACCTGCTGCTGGTACGCAAGGAGGCCAAAGCGAAGCGCATCGGCACCGCACTCGGGAATACCCTGGGGAAAGTCGGCCATCTGGCCCTTCTTGGCCTTCTCGATTTCCTTGGGCGGGAGGTTGCCGCTCTCGAGCTTTTCGAGGAGCGTCTCAAGCGTGCAGCCGGCAATGACCTCGAGCGGGTCGACCACGTTGCCAAGCGACTTGGACATCTTGCGGCCATACTTGTCGCGGACGATCGAGTGCAGGTACACCGTGTGGAAGGGCAGCTTGCCCGTGAGCTTCTGGCCCATAAAGACCATGCGCACGACCCAGAAGAAGAGGATGTCGTAGCCCGTCTCGAGGAGGTCGGTCGGGTAGTAGTCGGCCATCTCCTCCTTGTTGTCCGGCCACCCAAACACCGCAAATGGAAAGAGACCGGCCGAGACCCACGTGTCAAGCACGTCGTCGTCCTGCTTGAGCTCAATCTGCGCCTCGGGCACCTGGAGCTTAGCAGCCGCCTTGGCGCGCGCATCGGCCTCCGACGTGCCAGCAACCCAGCGGTGGACGTTGGCCTCCGAGTTGGGGTCGACATACGGCTCGTTCTTGATGGTCGCAAAGTAGGCGGGGATGCGGTGGCCCCACCAGAGCTGGCGCGAGATGCACCAGTCGCGGATGTTTTCGAGCCAGCGAAACCACGTCTTTTCATGGTGCTCCGGCAGAATCGTGAGCTCCTTGTTGCGCACGGCGGCCATCGCGTCGTCGGCCATCTGCTGGCAGTTGACAAACCACTGCGGCTTGACAAGCGGCTCGACAATGTCGCCCGAGCGCGAGCAGATACCGAGACGCATCTTGTTGTCGGCCTTGCCGTGGAAGAGGCCCTTCTCCGCCAGCGCCTTCTCCATCGCCACTCGCGCGTCGTAGCGCATCATGCCCTCAAAGAGCGACCCGCCGTTCGGGTTGATCTTGCCATCGTCGTCAATGACCGTGATAAACTCGAGGTTGTGGCGCTTCCCGCACTCGTAGTCGTTCGGGTCGTGCGCCGGCGTGATCTTGACCGCGCCCGTCCCGAAGCTCATGTCGACGAGCTCGGCGTCGCAAATGATCGGGATGCGACGGTTGTTGAACGGATGAACGACAAACTTGCCGTGGAGGTGCTTGTAGCGCGGGTCTTCCGGGTGGATGGCGACGGCCGAGTCGCCGAGCATCGTCTCGAGACGCGTGGTGGCCACGATGAGCTGCTCGGTCGAGTTCTCGACCGGGTACGCAAACGACGTGATGACGCCAAACTCGTACTTGCGGTCCGGGTTGTGCCCCGGCACGGCGAGCTTGGTGCGGCCTTCGAGGTCGAGGTAGTCGACTTCAATATCCGAGATCGCCGTCTTGAGCTTGCAGCTCCAGTTGATCATGCGCGTCGCGCGGTAGATGAGGCCTTCGTCAAAGAGCTTGTTGAACGCCGACATGGTCGCACGCGTGCAGCGGTCGTCCATCGAGAAGTACGCGCGCTCCCAGTCGACCGAGCAGCCGACCTTGCGGAACTGGTGGTGGATCCGCGTCTCGTACTCGTTCTTCCATTCCCACACGCGGTCCAAGAACGCGTCGCGACCAAGGTCGTGGCGCGACTTGCCCTCGTCCTTCATGAGGCGCTTCTCGACGACAGACTAGATAAAGGGATTGGGTGAGAGGAGCGATACGAGGACGAGGGAAGGTACCTGCGTGGCAATACCGGCGTGATCGGTACCGGGCACCCAGAGCGTCGCGTGGCCCAACATGCGGTGCCAGCGCGTAAGCGTATCTTGGACGGCGACCGTGAGCGCATGGCCCAAATGCAGCGAACCCGTGACGTTGGGCGGCGGAATGACCATGACGAAGCGCTTGTCCTTGGGCGCGTTCTTGATCTTGGCGTCGTCGCAGCGGAAGTAACCTTCCTTCTCCCACCACGCCTGCCACGCCGCTTCGACGGCCACCGGCTGGTAGCCCGTCGCCATCTCGGTCGTCATGTCCTTCTTCTCGCCGACCGGCGTGAGGTTGACAAACTCCTGCTCCGGCGCGACCTCCTTCACGGGCTTGACCTCCTTCTCCTTCTTGGGCGCCCAGCGGTTCGGGTCCTTTTCCTTGGCCGGCTTGAGCTTGCCCTTCTCGGCCTTCTTCTGCGCCTTCTTACTCAGCTTCTCGCCCTCGGGCTGCGCCGGCGCGGGCGCGGCTGCGCTCGGGGTCTCCATGCTTGTTGCTGTTTCGGAAATCTTCGACTGGCTGAGAGGCGGCCCCGAAAGCTCGGGAGCAGAAAAGCGCACCTCTTCCGCCCTTTTCCGCACCCAAAAAGGGCCGCGTGCGGGATTGGGTGCGCGTTTGGCCCATAGAATTTTCTTTTGAGCTGTCGCGGCCGGCAAGTAAAACCACCAGGTGTTTGTTTAAACGCGTTTTAGACCACGATCCGCCGCGCAGATGGCGACAACGACGACGTTTTACAACAAACCCGACGGATCGCTTGTACGTGCAGCGTACCGGTACGTAGCATGTGTCGATACATTCTTGTGGACTTTGCGACCGCTTGAAATGCGCGCCACCAAAGGAAGCTGGTGCTAAAACGCACTGTTTAAACCTCGTTTAACCAGTACGGTTGTCATGAACTGCCGAGAACATCACTCAGATGCGCCACACTCTTCTAGTCGTGTGGAAGAACGGGAGCTGCCTCCTCGTGGAGCGACTCGGGCGCGGAACTTTCTTGCCGCTGGAACAGCGCTCCAAGGCGTCACTTCACAGCGGGAATGCGAGAGGTCGGTCTGGATGCAAGTGGCGCCAGCGCTGGCGACACGTCCCATCCTCACGCCGCCTGTCGTTCCTAGTCAGTAGTGTCCTGTCTGTCAGCAGGTACCGTCGGTACACCCCTAGTTGCTTGCAAGCTTCTGCTTCGAGCGTCATAGGTCATCGAAGCTCCTCACCTTGCGTCCCCCTACAAATACGGGTGGCACCCGACCATCACCAAGGAT